TGATTCGGCATTTGAGCACATTAAAGAGCTCAAATTCATTGGACTGTCAGCTATATTAATCTAAATTTTCAATTAAATGTTTCGCAATATGATCCCAATAAATTTCAAGAAGATGCTTTATCAATTTTAAATATGTCATGCTGATCTGACATCATATCAATCACGTGAATAATGAATTGATGACTGATGGCGTTTCTGTGAATAACAAAGCATATAATTCATGAGGACGAAGTAATGGCAAAATATTAAATTATCACATCACAAATCCTTTTCATGGGGTTGTTTGTCTGGGATATCATAGTTACATGTTTTGTTTATGCCGCAAACATTCAACAGAGCACCGGGATCAACCTTGATACCTGACAGAATTATGTACTTTGAGACTTTGCGTTGAATGACTAAAAACACTTGAATGGAACAAACTCGCGACCTCCTAATGCAAGCAAACTTAAGAATGTTTGTATGATTTGCATGTCACCGAAGAATTAATATTGAAGCATACCCAGAATTTTTCTGTCAAGATATTTGATCATGAATCTTGGTCATCTGCTGGATTTTCCCAATAAATTTGGATTGTGTGGTAAAGGTCTATTACATTATTGCCTCTTTGTTTCATATCCTGGGAAACATGTCAAATATCCTTAGGCCAAACATCCATTAATTTTCGCCCGACGTCAAAATCAGTACAGAGATTGCAAAACACATTGTGATTCTCGAAGACCACATTTCCTTCATCAAACTTAGTCTTTTCGGTCTTTTACCCCAACATCTATCTTCATGAGAAAATAATAACTTAGGTATTAGGTACATGAACTTGACCTCTGAGCATAGATTTAATTAAAAAAAGGAGTCCATCATGCTCTTCTTAACGAGAGCTTCGTGCTTCCGTCGGACGGTGTGAGATATTGACTGTGCATGGGCACTAAAGGTTATGTTGATAACGTATAAGGATACAATTTGTGCTGATGTATCTATTGCAACAACATGTTACATTTAATAATGAAATGTGAACTATTGACTTCGAAGGTTAGAACAATTCCCAATTACTCTTCTGGAGAAATTTTGTGTTACAACTCTATAGAATGTACATGGGAATGACATTGAAACAAGGCAGTTTGAAGCTGTGTTATTTTCAAATCAATAGGAAAGCTCCGACTATTTCGAAGTTTGCTAATGAAAGTTTACGGTGGCAAACTAGACAAAATTCAGTAACTACAATAAATATTTATTTGATGACTGGAAAGATATGTCAGCAATCCAGCCCTGAATAAAGATACATTTTGGACATTTTCCACTCTCAAACAACAATCATTCCTTCCTTGAGGGAAAATTTATTTGACTCTCAATACATTTGCAAATGACATCATTAGACTGACTTACATATTCGTCTGCGCTTAAAGAAATTCTGTTGTAGAATACAGAACAATTAGGAAGATATCTCGCTCTTATCTTTATTGTGAGGTTTCGTGAATTTCAATTACGTATGTGCTTTGTTGTTTTATTGAGTGGAGAAGAGAAGACTCATTCCTATTAGCCTTAATCTGGGCGATGAAAAAATATGTATGTAGATAAAAAGGCCAAACAGCTGTTTCACGGCCTGATATAGCAACAATAAAGCTATTAAGCTGAGTTTGTCGGCCTCTTTGCAATTAATGTAATTTCTGCAAAGAGGACATTAGCACCGCACTATAAGGGGAAGTGGGATATGGCGTGAATAACACAATTATGAGCTGTATCCTTATCATGATGTTTCATAAAGTGTTGCAGTCGAGTTACTTCCTAAATTACACCCCTGGCTAGAAAGAGAAAGTTTTCAGGCATGTGTAGAAATAATTCTTTCTGCGCATTTTAATTTACAGGTGCGAGAGGTGAATAAATTATACTATAAAATTAAAGCTCTTGAAACACATGTAGATTGAGTAGCAATTAATGCTCTTAGTGAGTGAATGATAAGAATACGAGTTTTCATAACAGTGCAAGTAGGATATTTTACAAAGTCTTTCTGAAGGAAAATGTCCTATTAAATTGGATATCATTTAAGATATTCCTTAAACTAATAGAGAAGAGTTTATTTTTTCATAATTCCTAACCGTGCATGCAATCTCCTTAGGATGTGGATTCCTACGTAATTTAGTGTAGAAATGTGGTGCACATCGGCAACGTTTATGAAAACAGTGAATATATATAATTTGAAATTGTCTCTTACATTATGCATACACACAATCTTAAACGGGGTGAATTAAGGTTAACATATTTGTACAGTTCTTATATAAAATTCCATCACCCCATTTGCTCATATGGGGAGCCCTTTAGCCATGTAACAATTTCAGACGTACAGCTCGCCTCTCTGTTCTCTCTCACACAATATACTGAATTTTAATGCACAAACAAACCACTTTTGTACAAGTGTTTCATTTAATATGAAAAAATATATTTGCGCCTGTGTATATTTTTCACAATGTTTGCAAATTAAATGGCTTGGCAGGGAATTTGGTGAAATGTGTTTCACTCTTTCATTTCCAACTCATCCACGCGGTGTTTTGTTTGTTGCCAGAAATATTGCATTGCTGGGGAAAAGGGGAAAACTTTGCCAAATGTGCGTCATATGTGGTATTTTGAGAAATAATATTGGTTTTTTTTACTCTGTCACTCCCTTCTTTCCCCAAATAATCTGATCTTCGTATTCCCACATTCGCGATAATAGAATAGAATTTAGCAAACTGGGGAAAACAACATCATCAGCATGAATACCAAATTCATATACATAACAATCCTATTTGAATGTGTTTCTCTCAGGGAGGTTAGAGCCATGGAGAGAAATGCGTTTTATGAAAGTTTTGCTAAAAAAGAATACTACATTTAGGAAACACTCCAACAGGAAAAACTTATCCGATTCTTTGTATCCTGTCATGAATCCTTACACTGCTTCTATGTTCCACTCCTTGTCATACATTCTCGATGATTTTTTCTTCGGATTTCTACCTTTTATTAGGCTTTCAAGGCGACTGAAGAGACGCGAGAGAAAATGGGGGTTGATGTGTAGGTTACTTTCGCCGAGACTCTCGCCTGCGAGTGAGGGATAAAGATTCCACACACGCCCATCGAAAGGGATATTTCGTGCGACGATATGATATTCCTCCACGGTGTGATTTGCATTATGCGTACATCACCTCAAATACCACCCACTGGCCTCCAACTTCCAGGTGATTTCGTATCGCACATCCACCATCCATTGTTGTAAATATTCTCCCACTCTGTGATGTGGGCGCAAATAAAAGTGGGTGGAAATGGAAGCTATTTGCGAGATTTTTGCCACATTATCATCTTCGTCTCAAATGGTATTTTCCCATGAAAGATACATCACGCAAAATATCAATACATTGGAAATATTGTAGGAAGTTTTATGGAAGTTTTTAGCACCTCGAGGCACAATGCATATTTGCAGTCTACATATGTTATTACATACTTGGATAGTATACAATCAATATTAAATCATATTCGCTCTGCACATGTGGAGTTATTTTCATTTCTCTATTTACACAATGACAAATTTTTTTCCCATTTTCTCTATGTTTTCACTATTGCATTCGGTCCTCATGAAAATTAGTATATTTTCATGTTTCAATTAAGCAAAATTTCTTAAAAATAGTTTACTCATATTCCTTTAAATGGAAGAAAATAAAATATAATACATTGAATTAAATTTATGACTAACATAATTGAGTTGTGTAATCTTATACACTCACTTGGAGTACATTTCAATAAAACTACCCATTAACCTTGATTAATGATATGGCTTGTGGTGGAATTGTGGTTTCCTTCTTAACTGAAGATATTAATTTCTGTTTAGAAAAAATTATCACTTCAACTAATTGTTATATCATGAAAGGTGACATTAATGATGTGGCCACAATAGTGATTTTCAATATCGAATGACTGACGGTTTTTCTCATAATTAAATCAATCACTGAATCTATAATTGATTTAGCGTAAATACTGGTTATATATCATAAATTTGTTCAACCATAATTGCCTATTCATGTACAAAATATCAAAATGTTGCGAAATTGTGTACTTGATGTTATCTGCTTCATTAATTGGTGGGATTGCAGTGCATCATGGGATGAAATTGTGAATATTTTACGTTCTCACTTATCACGTCATTTATATAATTAGTTGATATTTTGACCAACACATCGGGCTTTAATAATAGCATAAATGACGAAGTGTGGTGTTTCTGTCGAGTTCTATTTCTCTGATTGATAGAAGCGACTTATTTCACTTTGAGAAAATATTTAACATGTAATGTCAAGTGTAATTTTGTTTACATCAAATTAAATAGTCCGCTGAGTCTAAATTAAATATATGAAAGGAATTACTTAATTTAACCACTTCAATGGAAGACTAATTAGATCGGCATGAAGAGTCCAGACCTGCCATGGCAACAACTAGCAGGGAATCCTCTTTCGAGTGGTTATTTGCAAATTTACTCACTGTGCTGGATTTTCTGGCAAGGAAGAAGGTGAGGTGATTAAATGGGAAACCCATGTGTGAATCGAGGGAGATGCTCACCTGCGTGTGACTCTTGAGAGGGTACGGAATTAAGCTTAAGATAAATAAATAGAGGAATCTATCAAAGGATCAACAGGTGCGAATCTCTCATCTACCTGATGTTTGCCTAATAAATGCCGCCCGCCTGGGTGGTAAACTTTCAACTCTGAGGACCTCTACCGCATTCCCACATTAAATCATGGCCTGTGCCAGATGATGAATGTCTGTATATAAATATCTCACTCATTATTGTCTTAGTGGGGCATTTTGGGCTCATTTCCAGCCTGCGACGAGGAGTGGGGCGGCGGATTCATTGAGAAAACCTACGTGGTGTATGATATGAGGGGGTGTATCCCCACCACAAGAGCGCAGCGGCACGGCCGCAAGTGGTGGGGAGAGACTGGGGCGAAATTCTCGCCAGAATGAGCGACAAATCTGGGCGACAGCCGTTCCATTGGTGTAACCGACAAACTTTTAAGCACTCTGTGAAACATCACGGCTCAGTCTGCGTTCGGGTACTGAAATGTGCGCTTTATGCAGCTCCCACGACCCTTGAGCACGAAGCCAAGAGCACCAATATTTGATTTCTTGCGGTTGGCAAGAGCACAATATGTTGATGTAGTTCAAGTGTGCACGATAATCAAGTGGCTCCCCTCACTACTTAATTGCTGTGACTCAACCTGATGCCAAGTTGATGGCGAAGAGACTGAGAATAATGAGTGACGTGATTGTGGAAACGGTATCGTAGTGCACGGAGTATTTGATCTCAAATGGTGAATGAGGAAATTGTGAAGATATAGGATCTTTACAAGAGCAAACTCAATTTATTTTCAATCTCGGGGTAGATTAGTCAATCACTCCGCCGTAGATGAAGAGACCAAGAGTGTTGATATCTCCTGGTTTATTCATATCACAGGCAAATCGACAAATATTGAAGGTGCTCGCCTTACCTCTATGTAATTACATTGCAAAATCCTAGCATCTTAATTGCATTAGAATTCACAAGCTGTTGTTTGCACATCATCTAATATGCTTCGATGTAATCAGCGAGAACTAATCCGACGAACAGTGTTGTGGAAATAAATAACTTAAGCCTCGAGACTGGCAGAGAATTGCTCCTCATTTAACTGATAATTCATGTAGTGCGCGATTTGTCGCAATGTCATAAATCTTCTGCCTCGTCTCCGCTGTTTTCTGACATAGAATATTTTATTTCACCTGTAATTTCGTCATTTCGTGCTAAATTCTCCATCGAGATGGCAGAGAAAAGGCATATTTTTGACTATGTCAGAATGTTTCGTACCGAAACATTCCGGTGAGGCAGGGATGAATAATTTATAGGTGTCTCTATGTTGAATCTCTTTTCTGAAAGAGCGAGTACCCTGGAATTGCTTACAAGCAGCTCTGCAACACCCAGGCAATGAGCATGAAAGTACTCAGCATAGAGATTTCGAGGAGGATCAATTTCTTCACTTGCATTTCCCAGATTATTCTTCTTTTCCCTCCACGCAGTAAATCTTCCTGAATATGAGAGGAAGTTGTGTGTGAGGTTAACGAGTAAATATGAGAAAGAATAATTGTGCTTTATGCAGTGCGGCTTCTTGGGATTTTCCAACTCCTTTCTCTCGTATGCCATAAATTCTAGATGATCCTCCGTAGCTCCCCGCGAGATCTACTCAACTGATTGTATGCAATCTCATCGTTATCATGTTTTTCTGGTACCGTGTGAATATCGTAAATTTACTTGCAAGCTTCCTTGCGAAAAAAAATCCCTCGTCCTTCCCATTGTCACAGATGGAGAAAGGTATTTGTGTGCGGTTGCTCTTTTCCCTGTACCAACGCTATCTCTTCCACCTGAACACCTGATGAGGGTGGGAAGCTGCAAAAAGTTCGCAGAAAGACATGAAGCTATTCCTGACATCCAGTAACAAGAGTATCATAGTTTAAATATTTACATTCACAAAACACCACGAAGAGATAAGATGCTCTCAATTCTATTTCTGTTTACTTTATACTCAACTCTCACCATATTCCGAATGTCTCGGCATAATCACACAAAATCATGCAAAAATGCCAAGTAGAGTAACAAGGATCAGGGATGTGAGGATCAACTAAGCTGAGCGGTGAAAGAAATTGGGCGAAACATTTTTAATTTGCTCAAGAATATTCAAGTGGTGCCTTTTTCTGAAGAAAATCCATGAAGGTATGCGGTGTATAATCTCAAGTGTTGCTTGTGAATTTAAAGACATATCGTTGAAACACAGTGAAATATTTTTAATTCGTACTGAAACTTCTTTGAAATTGAGATTATGCTCAGCGATTGAAATATGAGCAAAATTCTCTACTTACAACTAGAATATTCGTTGAAATATGAGCTGCAAATGTTATTTATTGCCACTTTGAGGCATGCGAAGGGAGAAATTAGTCAAATCTCTCCACGATGCTGCAGTATCTGTATAGTGTTATGGATTTGAGTTTCACTAACAGTATTATACGGATTTGCTACAAGCATCTTCATGAGATTAACGATCAAAGTTTTATTAATTTACACAGCTTTAAGTTTCTCAAGAAAACTCTTTACCTTACTTGCTGTAAATGACTTTGGCACTTCAGAATGTTTTCCTCTGCCAAATATCAAGCGGGTGTTGAGCTTTAAGGGGAATTCCCCAGAGTTTTTATGTAAAGAAATTGTGAAATGGAGGCTCTTTGTGACTACAGCTTTGGAAATTTTAATTTTGATACGAAGCTGTCGTGTGTGTGATAGATCTTGAAAATCTCTTGCATATAAATAAGATGTTTTGAATGTGAAAGCAGAAACACGCGCGTTGGATTTGGTATTCCACACAAACATTTTCAGGGTATTTTTCTGGTAATTAAGAACTCGAGATATCACGTGAGTAAATTATGGAGTTATTCCTTGAGAAAAGCAAATTTAAGTGATTTATTTTAAAAACATTGTGGTGAAAGAGAAATGAACTAAAAGGCTTTCTTCAAACTGTCTTAATATTTTTCCGTTTAGAATGTTTTTAGTCCAGACATGGAAAGCATAAAATCCTAACCATATTTTATATATGACAATATTCATTGAGGCAGATACACTTTATAATGCTATATTTCTGCGCGTCAAAATGTAAATAACATAACAATGAATATGTTATAAGCTGTAAAAAGACGTTGCATGAGGAAAATGGACACTAAAACAGTCTTCCAGACTGTTTTACAAGGTGCAAACCTTTTAACGGCTTTGAAACATTTTGTGTAATGTGCGACTGTTTCAAAAGTGTCAATTGAGAATAAAGGATTGTGCAGTTGATTCTGTAAATTGTTTCCGGGTAAATTTCACAGCTAATACTCTAAATTGGACCCAAGTGATAAAGATATGGCCTTAATGGTGGGTTCCATCGGTGATGGTTGGATTGCCGAAATGCGACTGTGAGTCAGTTGCTTAAACGTCTACAATATTGCCTTCCTAAATACCCATTATGACGATCGTATTTTCCCCTTGAGTACGTTCTCTCAGAAATTGATTAAAATTAACAGTACAATGTAGGAAAATTAATTTTCTACTGATTTTGCAAAAGCAACAGGCAAGCTCTGTTGACTATTTCCGCATAAAGAGCTTGAAGGGCTTGAAGGGCTTCAAGCTTTTATTGACCGCTTGCCCTTGGAAGTATTATCATAAGCATTTATCTCGAGATAAAGTCTGCTTACTTATTAATCACAGTCTTACCGGCCGGAACGCTGTGAAAAGAACAGAGAAATTCCATCTACAAGCTCACTGATTTTTCCACAGTGTTATCGTATTATTATTATTATTTATTGCAAAGCAACATTTTGCCCATTCGCACTTTCTCCTCTGTTGGAGCTTCATAATAAAAATGTCGAGGAAATTGCATATAAATTCTGTTGGACTATGAAACTTTTCCGGTAAAAAGTATACTCTGGGCTGTTTCTTTTCATTTCTTGCTCGAAGCCCCACATGAATACTTAGTTTCCGTGCGAAAAACCAGGAAGTACCTCAGTGAAATTGCCATAGCCTACAACAAGGTGCCACTTTTCAGATACTTTTAGCTCCTTTATATGGCTCTGTATTGGCGAGAAAAAATAACACCACACGATTCCAATCACAACATAGTAAACTTTCATGGATGGCACAAAAACGCCTGAGGCAAGGGAGGAAAACTTCGCACTCAGCTCGATTGGAGTCTCGGACTCAGCAATATTTTCTTTAAATATCCAAAGGGTAAAAAGTGTGGGGAAGTTTCTTTTATAGCCACAACCTCAATAACGACAGCTTTAAGGAGGATATGCACTTGCAATCCTAATTTAAGTTCATATTCGATCGGTTGAATTGGAAAAAATCCAATCGATTTTCACTTGTGAATTTTTCTAAAAACTCTTTTAGTATTTCACTGACTAGATAAATTCTTTAGATTGGTGAAAAATGTAAAGCAAAGCCCCGTAGTAACAAAGCAAACAGAAAAGCTTATGTGGAAGTGCAAATGAGAGCAAAATAATCAGATTTGCGCTCGCTATAATGAGAATTAAATTATTTTTTAATTTGGATTTTGATACATAACTCTTTTCCGCTTTCCAATGCAAAGCTGATCAAGGTGAGAAAGATGCAATGCAAAGTGTTCGTGTGTATTTTAGCCATATGAAAAAGTCTGAAGGTCAAGAGATTTCTCCATGCAAATAAATCAACATGAACGACGAGTTTGCATACCAATGCAGTCAGTGGGTGGTTTCGGAAAATTGCTCATTGCTGCTATTCTGTCGTCTAAATTTCATAACAGAGCAATTTGATCGGTTGCCAATACGTGTCGCGGAGGGAAAAAGAGTTGCAGGAAGTGTAGGTGATACTACTATTTTAATGAGTTTGCACAATTTTCTCTCCCTGCAATAATTGATGCAATTCCACACAAGATTCCATCCCAGACGCTCGAGTTTTGTCTGTGAATGTGCAAGTTGAATTATGAGACAATACAGTCGCTGCACGCATTGTCGGAGTGTTGCTGTTAACGCAAGGAAATGTGCCATCAATCTACTTTAATCATAAAATAGTGAAGTGGCGGTGAAGAGGAAGTGGCAGGAGCGGACAGTCGTGGGCTGAGCAGAAAGCTGAGTGCAAGCGTGGAAAGGACATGTGAAGCGAGTGCTGATATTGTGGCACAAGAGTTAACCATCCTTTTTGATTAAATTCCATCGTGCGAGCAAGAGTGCGAGAGTCGGGAGAAAAAATGATGTTGAATCAAGGGCACTTCTTTGACAATTTCTCCGATAACGCCCTCCTTCTGGACATTGCCACAGTTAATAGCAATTTCACTGTGACACTGTCCGCTCTCTGGAGTGACAATTCACTCATCAACAACAGCAATAATGACAATACATCTCAGTTCCCAATTGTCTACGAGAGCAACTCCCAGGGCATACGATGTTACGCAAACAATCACAGCTACAACTGCACTGTCGAGGAATATCTCGAGCTCATGCAAGGACCAAAAAGTTTGCCACTACTCACGGCACTTATGGTGAGACAGAGACCAATAAACTTTTAATTAATTTCACCATTCAGCAGACTAATTTGCTTTCACACACATGCCTCAACTCATTTTGGCGTGAGTTATGATTCATAGTGATCATTTGTGGTTGACACTCATTCACAAAACCTCCCTTCACTATTGGCTATTCAATCAACATTTCCATGTCACAAATATCCGTATCTACGAAGTTCCTCTGAAAATTATCACCCAAATTTGACGACTGAATACACAAAACGCAGAGCAGTGCCATATGAAATTCTCTACAATTATAACCTTTTGCTTGAATTTAATTATGCAAATATTGCTGGTAAGTCTCAAAAACATCTGAGAAATTTCGCTCTTTGTATCGCTTTCTCTTATCACGTTTTCAGTATCATGAGAATGTCTCCCCAGTGTTGTTGATATTTCTGGCAAATTAAATATTGTCCCAACTTCACGTACTCAACCGTGCACAGACTCTGACTTACTGGAAATGTCGTCTTGAATCTGATTTGGCTGAATAAAAGTATACTTCCCTTCCCCCTAATCCAAAGTAAATTCATATTTTATACGGAGTTTACATTACATTAAAATGCATCACTGAATCTACATACATACATACACAACACAAGCTAGGGCTTCTCAAATGGTGCACAGGACCACCCACTGAAGAAGTGTAGAATCTAAACATGCATTTTCCTTTCAACTCCAGGCATACATCATTTATTATGCTTAATTGTATCAGACAGAAAAATTCAATGCATCAGAAGCTCCAAAAAAATATATTTGTCTCCTCACAAACTGCATATGAAATGTTGAGCTTTCAAGCGCTTTTAGCGTGAAATAATGACTAATCATTCTTGGAACTGAGTGCATACACACAAGCCCAGACAGTAGCGATTATTTTGCATAATCAATTAAGGAGCACTTGTGTGAAAAATTATTCGCCGTCTTTGCGTAGGCCTTTGAAATTGGCTATCGTATTGATCTAATTAAGATTTACAAGAATACAAAAAGTGTGAGACAACACAATACAGTCATTGATGTTATTCTTGGCCATTAAAGGAAACTGTATTTTGCACGGCGCCTTTTAAACAAAATAATACATTAAAAAAACAAAATTTATATGAATAATTTGAATTGAACTTTCGTGGGAAGCTTCTAATAATTTGCATTTAAAGAAAAGCTTTTAAAAGACGAATTTTTCATAGTAAGCAACAAAATAATTTATTATTTATCATTCGAGAGGTCATGAAATGATAGTGGACGCCACAATATAAAACTTAAACTCTCTTACGGCTTAATTGTTGAGATTCCACGAATCAATTAAGATTCTTAGAACTTTGATACACGACACATTCTCATGTAAATTATCACTGGAAAGTAATTGAATTAAAATCTTGCAGGTCACCATACTCTTCATAGCGATTTTCGTGACAGGAGTGATAGGGAACGTGATAGTCTGTGTCGTCATTGTGAGACATTCATCAATGCACACCGCAACCAATTACTACATATTTAGTTTAGCGGTTTCAGACCTTATTTTCCTACTAGTGGGTAAGTAAAGTGACACTCTCCGAGGTCTATCCAGAGGAATGGTGTGATAATGTCATTAATTTTATGCGGTTTACACATTCCCTTTGGTCCCCGAAAATTGCGTCGAGGGATCGCAATTTCAAGAGGTTGCGGACAAAGGGTCTGACTTGTGGGCGTTGACAAAATCGAGTTGAAGTGATTCGTGTGTCGGAACGGAAAAATTTGCATAAGATATACGACCTTTCTCATAAACTTTCATTTTATCTAAGACACCGACAAGGTATAGACTCATATCTCTTAAAATTTAATGCACTAATTTGCTACAAGAGCGCTGCCAAGAGTCATTGAAGATGAAGAGTATCTCGTGTCTTGTGCAAATAATGCCATGTTAGAGCCCCATGCCATTTTTCTTTAAACAACACTCTGCAGAGAGTCAATTGTGCGCCCCTATTTTTCATTACACAGCTGTCGATTGGAAACAATTTCAATCAAATTGAATGGGATGATGAGATATCTTAAGAGATAAGTGGTTTTATGTACACTCACTCGAATAAGTATATAGGAAATCCAATCTGGTAGAAAATGATTCTTGGGTTTCTGTTGCTTGCCTTCGTTATAGTCATCTCTATTGAGCAATTTACATTCATTTTCCCTTAAAATTGATTAAAGTATGTTTCGTTTCTTACCCAACAACCATCGATATTTGCTATTAAGCTTTTATTGGGACATTACGCTTAGGAGCTTCATACATAATTGATTTTTTTCTAAATTACTTTACGATTCCTTTTGAGCATAGTATTGGTTTATAAGGAATGGGTTGTGAATTCTCGGTCGAAAGCGCAATACTTTGTAATTCGTTTTACCCATTTTTTTCTCTTCTCAAAGAGTTTCATTTGCAAATTATACAGCGGCGGGATTTTGAATATTTACTCAATGGCTGACTGCGTATAAAATTCAGTAAAAAGAAACTATAAAATTAACTTTTCTTTATAGACTTGACTAAATCGTTTGACAGTAACTTTAATAATGTGCTGTTAATGTTCTTGTTTATGACATTTTGGAATTTTTTCTTGCGTGTATATGTGTCTTTCATGGTGAAGCTAAATTGAAACAGGGAGAGACGTTTAGACATGGACAAGTTCTAAATATTTAAGTACAACGTCATCTCTCATGTGTCGTCTTTGAACCAGTTCTATTTACAATTATCTAGTTCATGAAAAATGAAACACTCTTCGAAAAACATGTGCTAATTCCTTCGCCCATAAATCCTCTGGGAATTGCAACCATGTATGGCACGTCGCACAAGGAGAAGCTGGAAAAGGCTAATATAGCATGCCAGCGCGAAATGATATGCAGACAAGAAGCAAGAAAATATGATTCATATTTTAAGGGCATTTCGAGAGCATCCGGAGTTGTGGCTAAGTGAAATATTTTATCAGTTTGGATGATTTATATCACATTGTAATCGATTTTTTTTTTAAATATTTCACTTTTATATCTAAATTCCGGAAGAGCAATTTGGCGGTTTTTTTTTTATTTTGTCATTTTTGGGGTGGAATATACATTCCAGAGTGATCATTTGATTTTTATTGTGATTTATTACAGACTACCGTATCACGAACAGATTTCCTTTTAATGGCACGGAGCGAAAATACCAATTGAAAACGTAACCGATGAAAAATGCCAGCATTGTAGCCGATGCAATTTATTAAGTTGTAATGTGCACTCGAACTTCCCAGTATATGACAAAATTGCGTGGCTCGGAACCGATTAAATGATATGGCTTGTGCGGGAAATTAATAATCGTCATATTTCATCATTGCTATGGTGGAAAAAGGCAGCCAATTTATGTGATACATGTATTCTGTGATGGCGCAGGATGATAAAAAAAAGTCTCTCGTGAAAATTGTTGCATTCAATCGACGGTCACCGCTCTTGAATGGGGATATACACTACGTTGAAGCTCACTCACTGATTATTATTGTAAGAGTTGTGCTTTGAGCATGAGCACCCCCATGAACATTTCTGTCGTGTTCATTTCAATAGAGTGGCGATTGCATGGTGAATTCAAACTGAAAGTGAACAATCTCCATCAGAAAGCACGAGGTTTGGCAGCTTAAATGGAAATTGTGTGTGCTGACAACCACCTGACATTAATCTTTCGCTCGAATCTATACTTTTATAACATCTCATAAAATTTTCAAAATGTCTAGATAATATTCTCGGAAATCCAGCATCATTTCATGGCAAAACAGCACATAAAACATGTAACAACCATCACGTCCGAGCCTGTCATCCACGAAAGCCCGAGAGGAACATCTTCACAATTCTAAGCAGATTGAGGGACAATTTCTCAGAATAATTATTTCGACGTTCTTCTCTCTATTACTGTAAATGTTTTACATTTGTGCACCTTAAGATCACTTCTGAGGACCTGACTTGTTAATCTCTCGAATATTTCCTTCTTCACGCCCTCGAGGTATAAACAGGAAAACCCAGAGCACAATATGAAAATTAGGGTTGGTTTGCAAGGGATTAAATAAGTTTCGTGTGAGACAAGATAACAGACCGTCAGATACTAAAATAAGGAAACATCTTTCGAAAAGGTTGAAATAAACAACCATTAAGATACAATCTTGAATAGAAATCGTGTATTTATGCAATTAGATTATTGAAATTCTCTCCCAAAGCACAGAAAATCTCACTGACGTCTAAACGTGTTAGGAAAATGGTGATAATCTTGAATTTTTATGTCTCGAAAACTGAGATTGAGAAGTGATTTCGTGATTGGTTTCTAGTTTTTCACGAGAAATTTTGCAATAAACACTTTTGTCAATAAAAATCCTTCTATGCAATCTTAATAGGGTTCTTAGAGAAAATTTAAATGTACTACAATAGTTAACTGCAGATAGCAACATTATATTCCGTAGCAATCATTTTATAAAATGAATAATGCCGTCTTTCCCTCCTTCAACACAAATCTCAGATGGTCTCTCAACTTTATTATCTCAAATGATACGGTGTATAGTGCAGAGCGCCATCGACTTTTGTTATTTATTGTGTTTACCCAAGAGATAAGACTCGTTCGTGCGGTGCGGCCAGATTGTTCTGCAAAGATCTACAATATAAATCCCATCTCCAGGCTAATGTTCCCATGCGAATCTGCCAATGCTGACAACATTTCAAGAGGAAGCGTAGGTTCACAGCAGTAGTACCAATCAAGGGGCTGTTGAAAATTAATGGGTGGGTGTGAAGAAACCGCGGAAATGCTTGTGTGCACTCGGCTGTGCTATCCTCTAACTGAATTCACACCCTCACACGACTTGAAATTTTCTCTTCCTACCACAATCACCCAGTTAAATGGCGAGATAGCTTAATGACTGTGGCCAAATGAAATGCAATTGCAGACTGCCGAGAACAAAATATACACATTCTCAGCTCTACTTCTGCAGACAACTTTCCCGCGCAAGCATAAGCAAATTAGATAGAAGTGCGAAAAATGCTGTAAATACTATAAAAATACACTATCTTATCTCAAAATGTTAACACTCGTCAAGATACATTGATATGCATGTGTTACATTGTCAGAGTGCGAGACTATCTGCAATGATGGGCAATTCATTGTAATAAACCTCATAAATAAAGAATGATAATACAATGAAATATTATCACTTTTCATATTACTCCTATGTAATATTGCAGTTACTATAAATTATGCCCTTTTCATAATGGCTTTTAAAATCAAGTGTGTTAATTTAGAGTTAATCATTTCCATTTCATCGTTTTTCAGTGGTGTCGGAAATTTAATGAAATGAAACAATCATATGAACGCACAGAGAAACATTCTGAAATATTTATCTTGGGTCACACAATATGAATAAATTCCATTCAACAAACTTTTTCGCATAATTAAATATTTAAATAAATTGCCCCGTTCGGCAGGGCTAAATGTGTGAACTCCATTTATAAGTATGCTCGCATATGCCTATTAATAAATCAGGGAATTTTTAGGGCAATATAGCTTGTTAATTCTACTTGAATTAATTGCTCCGAAAAGCTGCAAATTTTCATAACTCTTAGATTTCTTAGAATTATCTAATTGCCAATTTATGAATTCCAAATTTTGAATTTGAGTAGGAATCCTCCAAAAATGTACATCCTTTATGGAAATACACGCCAACTGAGGCTACATGTGAAATTTCCAAGAATACTTCAAAGCTTTACAATACAACTCTAATAATTGGACACAAAAATGGCCAGAAGCCACTGAATCATGAGTGAATGAATGGAAATTCTTTTTTCGCAATGCTCGATGTGTATTATGTTACAGCTGAGGATCAACGAGTAGAAGTAATCATAATTTTAGACGACAAATTAAAGATATATATATACATATATATATATATAGTACTCAATCTAAAGAACCCTCATACCGCAATTTCAATCCAGGAAATGGAATTTTGTGTAAAATTATAATGGTACTCTTGTCATGATTCAAGGTTGTACAATTTCTGGCAGTGAGAATGTCTGAAAATAATATCCTTAGACGCCACATGGGGATTCCAGCGCAGCATTCCAAGTCGTCATGCTGTGCTTAAAAATAATCAAGCGTTACATGCGACATTCGAAACTTTACTATTTTCATCACATTTCAATTACTTCTTCTTCTACATTTTTTTTGCTTGTTACCTCAATTACGGAGCCAAGAGACATACATATTCACAACAGTCATTCGTGCAATACAAGGCAGCGCTTACTTTGATGTAGCACGCAATATGTTCTATATAGGACGTAGATGTATAATCGCGATTCCTGAAGTTCAATCTGCTCAGCAATATTGAGTGACTGCGATTAAACTTGAGCAATTATTCACAAATATTAGAGCAAACTTCTACAGGTACATGAAATAATGTTGTAAAATATTCTATTCTCAGAATTTTGTGAAGGGTACAGAGAAAATCATGTTTAAAGTATAACGTATGCTACACGTTATGTTGTTTTCCCGAATTGTTTTCCTCGTTTTGTGTATGATTCTTTATACACTTTCCGTCCTTCCTTTTGTCGATGCCATGCTGAGAATCTAGCAGATCAAATTTTCCTTCAAACACTTTTGGGAAAGTGCTGCAAGACACATTTAAGAACAAAATATACCGCATACAATGCAGGAGTATAACAAAGTATGGGACAGGAATAAACAGGACTACAGAAAAAGGCAAAAAGCGAGGTGTGAGTGAATTGGCAAAAAAATCGTTCGCGGGCGAAGAAAGCATATCGTGTGGTGAGATTTTTTTATGAACCCATAAAACTGTAACAAGTAAATTTTTCGCGTACAATTTCAAATTCAGTGCAATGGAGGCGCCGGGTGAATCAGTCGACTTGCACAAATTCGAATGATACTCTGTGGTACGTGACGAAAGCGGATAAAAAGAGGAGTGTTCAGGAGGAAGGAGTGCGATTCATGGGGTGATGTTTAGGATCAGTAAAAAATGTTACACACATGCAGTTAATGGTATGCAAAATGAGTATGTAAAGTTTAATATGAAAAGTTGAGCCTCTCTGAAAAGTGTTCACTTTATAGTTTTGTCCATTTCACTCTAGAGATTTTTGCCATTCTCAAGCAAAGGCACTGCAGAAGAATATCCAATTTAGATCATTAAAATTAGCAAACTTCCACAATGTTCCACTGCCAGATACCTTCATTTTCTGTATAATGACATCAAGTGTAATTTGATATAAAGTACTTTCTACCACGTTTTTCGAACTATTAAAAATTTAGTTTTACATCATTTGGCGCAGATGTTGAGTCAAATGTTCTTTTGAAAGTAGTTAGTCTATTTCTGGGGAACATTGTAGTAAAAACGAGTACGATAAGCCTATTAATGAAACTGTCCTTCCCATTAAAGCACAAAATAAGTACTTTAAATTGATGGACTGCGAAAATCACAAGGAAAATCATATCGGAAGAGACACTCTTCACTGAGTACGATGAAAGAGTTGCTCGCAGAAATGGAAAATTTATAGCGACGAATATAAATCTTCCATGAAAATTAATTTAGGGTCTCGCGGAGCATTTCAGTCGTGTCGTTTGATACATTGGCGGATAAGTCTGATTCTAAAATACAGCAAATATATTTCACCAGCGACACGACAAGGTTCTGAAGGTACATAATTTATTTAGAATTTAGAATTAATTAAAGAGGGTGTGTTCAAAAACTAAAACATGCTTTCATCCAGGTTTCTGAATTTTCGGTCTTGATTTCTACATTAAACAGAACCCACAGAAAATTTCGATGTTATTGTGTTAAGGTGCAAATGAATATTCTTTTTATAACACTGGCGAAGAAAGACATTAGGCAGTAAAAATTGGTCATGAATCTTCTGTGCATGATATTATCATTCAGGTCACAAAACACCTCAACTTGCGATATAAATGCTAAATAGATCATTTTGTGCAAAGTTGTTGGACGAGATTGCAGTAAAAGAAAGGCGATTCATCACAAATTTCCCCTTGAATAACACACAAAACTCCTGTTGTGAATAGCTTTCATGAGAAATTACCATAAAAGAATTTGGTTGTTGTGCGTCATTTTAGTGAGGAAAATCTCACTGCGCCGCGATGTTCTCATGACAATTTTGTATTTGCCTCATTCAGAGCCATAATTCTGTACATATTTTAACAACAATGTAGATACTTGAAGAGGAACTTGAAAAGCCTCGTGATAGGAGAGAAAATTAATGATGATGATTAGCGTGAATAAATAATAAATGTTTCTTGCTGTATGAAAGCCACCATACAAAATTATATCTCAAAGAACTTTAATATGTAGTGTATATCATTATTATGGCTGTTCACCAGGATGCTCATAGATTACGCCATGAAGTTCCAACCATGAAAATTGGTCGTTGTTTACGATATACACATTCTGTGACGTTGTCTATTTTCCTTGCGCTAATGAAGGGTCAACGTAGAGAATCTTATGACATACAAATCTCAAGAATAATACCGCTATACATGTGAGCAAAGTATTTCAATCGATTTCAGGAGGAAATCTCACGTTTATATCTCTATTTGCCATGAAAGTACGCGAGGAGCGTCTTCAATGGTCCCGTGAGCAATTTATGAATTGAATGTACGCAATTACATTGTCGTTCTCCGTAGTATTTTCTTAAATGCGTACACCTCATTTCTACTTTGGCGGAGCTTCTGAGCGTAGGAATTTTGTGAAAATTGAGCATAAGTGGAAAGTCATGTAATTTTATCGCCTTTTAGCTTTCCATTTTGGCTATGAGAGACAACGAGCGCGACTTCAAGTGTAATTCATCCGTAATATTCCTCATAAATCATTTAACATGTAATACAAATTTGTGTGTGATTTGTAGATAAAACGACTCTGAGTAAACATTATTATCAACAAATGAAGAGAGGAGCCTCATACTGAAGAGGGTCTTTTCCCACTTAATAGGTCAATATCAATAAAGATTTTCCCGCCTCATATCATCAACAATTTTATTACAAAAACCAATAAGTTTATCCCAAGAGCGCACCCTTGTTTACTCCAAACACCAACACGAATTTTAATGAAGTCATAATATATGTATTGGCGAAGAATTTGCAGCGGAAGTCAAAATATGATCTATACAAATTTTGCAGAAATAACTTATTAATTTTCTCTTCACTTTTGAATAATATCGCTAAACTTTTCTTTTTAATATTCACGCTTACATATAATGTTGGATAAAAAATAGGCCCCATTCTCTGTTCTCTTCAATTTAATTTAAATAATACGGGTTTAGAAATGAAAACTCCCGCTTTGATCCCTCATCATTTTCACTGATGACGGTGGTAAAGAATAAGAAAATTGTCGATTATATAGAGAAAAAATTGCTTAATATCACGAACCGTAAATCTCTTAAGAGCACCAAAAATTTCTCTTTAGCATATGTTTTTTTACACACCATATTCTGAAAACTTTTCTAATATAAATGATTTATACGTGCTATACATTAATTTTCTCCTGATCTTCTCTGGGATTTTATTTAATACTGCACACACTCCATATAACAGCAAAAGAAAACGTGGAGAAAAATGAGATGGTATTCAAAGTGTGTGAGAGGTATTTTCCTTCATGAAGTGTATTATGCTATGCACATACAATACATTTTCTCTTTTCATTCTCTAAATTGGAATTCACTGAGAGATGTAGTGAGATAAATTGAAATCGTATCAAGGCGTCTTAACTGATTTCAAGTGACAATCGAGAGACTTTAATATGTACTTAAATGTGAGACTTTAATTTCATTCGACAAGCACAGGAATTCTCTCTTGCGATTCACTAAGAGATTCACACAATTCACCTTCTGAAAGAGCAAACATTACGATATTTATTTAATCAAGAAATATACTTCCTTGAATTTTCACTGTTCAACTTTGCACTATAAATAAGTAAATCTTCCAGTTTATTCCTATCCACAAGTAAACAAAAAATTCAGAAAGAGTGTACATAGTTTAAGGCGCACGGGAAAAGATTAAGACACATTTAAATTCAGCGATATGTAAATGTGTTGCAGATAAAATTGCAATATATTCGCTCAACTTACAACTTTGAGTTTAGGTATAGTCAAATCATGATGTAGACTTCAAAATTTTCTTCCTACGGGTATGAATTCATTAATTTTGTGATCAACTTATAGGATTTGACGATAAAGTTTCGGGTGTATAAATTAACTCATTACCACATCTGACACCAATTTCCACATGAGAAAATGTTCCAATTTTGTAATTACACACCTGTAGTTTCTCTACATATATAATGACCTTAAATCCCTTAAATGTATTTTCAATTTATTCTATGAGCCACAGAACTTAAATATCTAAATACAAATTCATTAATATTTTTGCTATATGAATCTATGCAAAGTAAATCAAAAAGATTGGAAATTTAATAATATTTTCAACATTCGTATAGATAGATTTCTGAGCATCATCTTATAAGTAGAGATTAGGTAAGCTGACTATTTATTGACTTGAATATTGCAATAAGCAGATCTAAGAGAAGCTTCCACTATCGCTCGAAGGCACACTTCACAGATTTTTCTTACAACGCAGACATTCTTTATTATTTTTTCAAGTCACATATGGAGAAGTGAAATTGAAATTTGATTTACAAAGAAAGAAAATCTATTTTACAGAAGTAATTCAGTGTGGCTGAAATGTATTGAAATGGTGGTGGTTATAAAATTGCGAAAGGTCATATGAGTGAAACGTGTATATGATACCAATGTTTTTTCACTATAAATACAAATTTACATATGCGGGCTTAGGAATATTCGGAGGATATCATCGACCGATAAGCTAACAGACGAACCAAGCCTATGCGAACATATATAACTTCATATTAGAATGTCTATTCCTGGGGTGGAGACATGTCAATAACTGTCTGTTGGCTTTTCATTCCCACAAAGGCTTTGTGACTAGAATGTGCCAAAATGCCTGCGAGGTTCAATATTTGACTAAGTCTTAAAATAAAAACATCATTCTCACACTCCCTTTGCACTTTGGCATCAAATCGCTTGGAGTACCACGCCATAACTCATATTTCCGCTAACTGGGAGTGAAAAAAATGACGGTGTGAGTGCTATACTATCTACTTGAGTTTTCCATGCAATTTCCAGGGAAAAGTTGAAACGGAAAACACTCCATTAGGCAATATATGTCGGTGTGTTGAATGTTTAAAGGGCACAAAGTTATAGCTGTTTCTCTGAAAATTTTGAATATTACAAAATTCCAAGTTTAATTCCTCTTCCACATCAGCAGAAAAGAATTTTTTTCCGCTGGAATGGATAAAATGATCGTAAATATTGCCCTTATTTCTCATACACAACGGGTCTACTCAATTTCTTTAATTCACCTCAACGCGATTTTATGCCTAACAATATATTACATCGAGATTATCCCTATTTTTTTGCTCTCTGCTTTCAGGTCTTCCATTTGAAACACATATATTATGGCATCAATATCCATATCAATTAGGAATTGTTTTCTGCAAATTGCGAGCATTCGTATCGGAAGCGTAAGTACCTCATTTTTCCTGAGTATAACGACTATTGAAAAGATGATGTTTGAATCGCCAATCAATTGAACGGATATTCTCAAACAATACGTGCTAGGATGTCTGCAAAATAGATACACTGTCAAGAACACAAATTGCTCCAACGACATAGTCTCTGAATAGAAATTTTATTTTCGTTTCCCTCTTAACAATATCGCATCCATTGAATAAACTGTCTTTCTGCGGTTTGTAAATGTTGAATATTGTCTATTTTTGACACATGTATATTTCGAAAAATATTCTAACATTCCTTGAAAAATAGTGCTCACATATCAGCTTGAGATTATTGAAAAAGAATCGCTGAAAAACTATTAAATTTACCCATAGAAGAGTGAGAAACATGTCATAATAATTCCTTGTCAAATTCAGAATAAAGCATCATTTATTCATCGCTTGCTTATTACCATAAAAATATGTTGACAGTGAAAGAATGGCAGCGATATTTATTGCTCCCAATGGCGCATAAGTTGAGGCACTTCAGGACTGATTTACCATAAAGCCCTCTTTGCCAAACTACTTTAAGAGAGTTGTTCGCATAATAGCGGTAAATCTATAAATTCTTCTGTGATTAAATCAATCGCACAATATTCCTCTTCATTTTGTGATATCTTGGGAGTTGTAATTGATTGAAAATAAACATAATATGCTTTTTATATGTGACTCCTTGAGAAAGGGGATTCAGTGGAGTTTATCTTGTATTAAGTAAGAGCGAAAATGTGTGTACGCACGTTCGCATAAGAAGCAACTTTCTTGTCAGATGTGTATTTATATTATATTGATTTGCTTTTCATGTGGTGATTTCTCTAGGGAGAGAAAGCCATAATAAGAAAAGTTGTATGAGACAGACATGCACGATGGAAGTATTGAAGGGTGTTATGTGGAATTGATTGTCGGCCAGAAATCTCATATTTTTCTTCTATTTCTCGGGAGCGTAAAATTGTAGAAGAGATAAGAAAATGTGTATGTCAGTTAGCAGAAATCAATTCGTGACCACTTTTCATCCTTAAACAAACAGATCGACCTACGTATCGGTCCTGACGATAGTGGCTTTCACCATGGAACGCTTTCTGGCCATCTGTCACCCTCTTCACTTGTACACGATGAGCGGTTTCAAGCGGGCGGTCCGCATCATCGGCGCTTTGTGGGTGGTGAGCTTTCTCAGCGCTGTGCCTTTCGGAGTATACACAAAAATTCACTACATCCCATATCCAGACAGTAAGTACTCTCCCAACACCGAAGCGCAAATTGTCGCCTTAATGTGAATCACAAAATATTTGGCATTCTTCTATCCCGAAAACTCTGTCACTAAATAACACTCTTAGAGAACGACAGTATCATCCTGGATTCTGCATTCTGCGGCCTGCTGGGAAATCCGAAGGGCTTCCTGCTCTTGGAACTGTCAACATGCATCTTCTTTATCATTCCCATGATCGTCATGGTGGTGTTGTACACGAAAATAGGACTCCGGATACGCTCACGGACTCGTCACACAGTTGCTCTCGGTGAGTTGTTCTGCATCCTCTATAGTGCACCACGTGCACATTTGGGCCATTTTCCCAATTACCGAACTCTGAATAATTTACACAAAACGTACTGCCACACCAAGTGGAACACAGCTAAGCAACCCATGATGATTTTCGGAAATGCTTAAAGTGTTCTCAAACCTAATATTTTAATGTCATTATAAAATTTAAGCATCAATTTGCATAGATAAAATATGAGATATGCAATAAATATTCGGAATTTTATGATAGGCAAGAAAAACAATTTCATCATTGATTAGGAGATTTATTGCTATGCAATTACAGCTTTCAATAATTTTCTTTTTCATTCTACTGACATATTTTTATTGATTTTTTATATGACAGTGAAATATCGCATAGATTGCATGACTCCATATTCTTTGTGAAAATCATTATGCAGCAAAACTATTTGAAAAAAAAAAATCAAACTGCTTTGCACACAGAGCACCACAAAACTATACTGAACTTTTGATTTCATTGCATAGTATCTCTATGGTATTTAACAATTTGAGGAATGCCTTTTCCCTCCCGTTATAGGCATGTTGCATTGTTGTTGAAATATGCAAAAGCAAAAAATTTCCTATTCATTTTCTGTCCAAAGAAGTAACATAAAAATGTTAATCGAAAGGTTGGGTAACATATCAATTTGCAGTAAATTACATCTTCACTGTGACAAGGAAATGAGCAAAAAATGTTTGAAATTCTTTCATAAATTTTAAAGAGGCTTTCCATGCCAATATGAAGTTAATATTTTATTCATTAGACAGATCCCCGAGACGGCGAACAGCGAGGAAAGATCATGTTAAGTGTATTGGAAAATTGCAGAACGGAAATTGGGGGAAATCAAAAGATGTAATTGATAATTGGGCATGCGGGAAAACGGAAAATTGCGACGAATAGAATGTTCGCGGCGCAAATCCCCGATAATCCACAGGGAGAACGAAGGATAAATGACCCAACTCATTGGGGGTGACAGGGTGGCTTTATCGGCACCATAAATGACCTCAGCTCACATTGGAGTTCAGTATAATTGTGGCGTCATATTTTACGGCTCCGTTCAGTTTGCTGCTCTCCAAATCCTGCCCGATCCGACCTGAGTGCAATTAGACAAGGACATTCGGTAGAGCATATGCACGTCTGCATTCCCTAACAAATTCAATATGAAGACATAATAAGAGTATCGAAATCAAATTGAAATGGCTTTCAGCGCCTGATGATCATCAGATAACTTTATAGCTCAGGGACCTTTTATCGGGTGCAAGCATGAAAGGCATGCGAAGTTGTTTGACTGTAAAAACTACTATTTATTATTATGATTTCTTTTGTATGTTTTGTGGTGCCAAAGGGTGGCACACGTCAACCCAGGCGAAAACATATTCAAACTGCTAACATATCAAATTATGTGCCCCGAAAAGACATCCATATTCCACTCCATGCGAAACACAATTTACTCGTTTTCGTTTTTTGTTCAGTCCCATTTTCTCGGCATCCGAAAAAATTTCCCCATCTCTGAGCAATACATGTACATCGCGAGAGAGAAAACCAACCACCATGAATTTATATTGAAACAGTTTATTGTCTGACGCTTTCCCTTTCATCGGGAGTGAAATGGGGAAAATTTTATCGAGTTTGCCCATATTCAGTCATGTTGTTACATAACTTTTGGCAAGTCTCTATATTCCACCTCTCATCTTGCACCAATTGATATACATTGGAGCAATTGGGAGCTGGAAAAAAATAGGATACATTGTAGACAAGCCTTTTCAGGAATTCCCACGCTCAATTACCACTCTTGTTTCTCGCTTCTCTTGCAGGTGTTCAACAGGGATCACTTCACAATGAATCCAGGCAGACGCAATCACGGAAAGCAATCATCCGAATGCTAGGTGAGATTATTATGTGCTCTTAATTAATGCAATATCAGTGCTCGTCACTTGTTGGTTTTTCTTCCCTTATTCTCTGATCATTTGTCAAAGTGGAAGCACGAATAGCAAGAGAATGAGAATTTTCTTTTGAGTCATAACTTCCACTCGCTGATATCGTCATTATCACTGTGAAAGGCGCGAAATAGAGTAGCGAGAGAAAGAAAAAGCAGCCGAGGCGTGAGATGAAAAAGTATAAAATTGAAAAATCACACCATGAGACAATGAACGCGTGAACAAGTGAGAGGGTCTTCAAGACACAGCGAGGAGGACTTTTTCTACGCCTATATTCTCTGACACGACTCTTCTTAGATGAAAAGAGCGTCAAAGTTCACAAAAAGGGCACACTCATGAAAATTACTTTCCCCAGAATCAAAGTCGAGGAGTAATATAATATTCCCCATGTGACTCGCTCTTATCATCAATGATTGCGCTGAAAGCGTGACAATCAATGATTATGACTGATAAAAATTAAGGATGAACATCCTTGTCGTGCCATATCACTTCACTTGTTTCATGTCAACATTTCCTCCAACTGTCAGCAATCAAGATAATTCGTCTGCACTTGCATCTTCCTCATTTGGAGCCTCTCTGCAAGGGTTTCCCTTCTGGAAATTACTACCTTTGCACCTTCGCTTTATGCGTTATATCACATCATATTTTCATCTCGAGATTAAACAGAAATTAGAAAGTCACACAGATAAACCATGTGGAAAGAACTTTTAGATATAAACATTACCATCGCACTAACAATGTTGACAGTATTGATTTATGTACGTTCGTACACATATCTTGTGAATTAAACTAATTACATTTAGATTTTAGTTTTTTCTTGGATTAATATTGTCAAGTCAAGCGACAGAAGATTCATTTACAGTGCATAAAAGACTTGCAGAAATTGCATGGAATTCTTCACTTAAATAATTATGCATCTTTGCCTTGATTCACAAATTTATCTTCAAATTTCCTTTTCAGCTGCTGTCGTCATTTTTTTCTTTGTTTGCTGGGTCCCATTTCATGGTAAGATTATTGCACAACAATACCTTTTCTGCCACTATTTAATTTATATGTGCCCTTTTATTATTTCATGTGTTCCGGTTTCTCCTTTTATACAGCACAAAGATTATTGTATTTGTACGGGCAGCAATGGGATTATTATGGAATCGTGAATGAGTGGCTGTTTTTCTGTGGTGGAGTACTCTACTATATTTCATGGTAAGTATTTGTGAGTAGGGAACAAGAAAAGCAGGATGGTTTGAGGGGATCTTAGAGAAAAGTAGTCCAATGTCAAAGCCCATAAGAAATTGTTTTGGGGGAAGAAAAAACAAGGACGGACTTTTTACGGATTGGGTACCTGAGAATCCGTTCAACTTGCAAATGAAATCCAACAAATCAAAGTGAATCAAGGCAATTTCAAGTGTTTATATATTGTGGAAGCCCTTGCGAAGGATGCCTCGTCTTTCGAACTAGGTTTATGTACATATTCAAGATTTCTTCTACAGAATCGTTTTGTTATTTTGCAGCATATATAATATATGGAGTGTTTCTTCATGCATATTATGTATGCTGTATCGCACGTAAGGGGTGATATTGGAGATATACGTGCATATATAGCATGTTGTCCCAGATCAGGGTAATCAACGTCTTCACACAATCGCTGGATCGTGAAATTGCCCTTGTGCAAATATGCGATTTTTTTCCACTTTGGACAGAAAAGTGCTTTAGTTTTTGCCACATATGAATGTGATATTACTTCACATGCACATTCTCTTCTGAATGCTTCCAATTTCTCCCTATCACTCACTCTAGTCTGAGTGACTTTTCAAGTAAGGGTCCAAGCACTATCTTGATTGGCTCTCTTCTTTGCTCAAATCTATCTAATCTATTGAATAGGTGCTTTGATTTTTACCGAGACAAGATACTTTAGGGATTGGAGAAACGATTGTGAAACTGGCTTCACTTTGTTGGCTACAATAAGAGTCTCTATAAGCCATATTTTTTGTCGAAGAGATTTACAGGCATTTCAACAACAATAGAGTAATCATTTAACTTATATAGATGGGTAGCATTTGAAACATGGATCTGTGGTTTTATCTCTATGGAACTTGCTATGGAATCATTAATTTCAACTTGAGAAACTCTTCCCTGACAATACCAAAGTGAAAATCAACAAATTGCCAACAATAAAACACTCGAGTCACTCAGAACACGAAATGAGAAAATTGATTATCCAAAATTTCTCTTCCTCCAAATAAATTCGATAAGAGATGTTTTACTTGTGACATTTTCAAGCAATTATAGATGAATAGGTGTATGATTTATTGTTTCCGTGAGAAAGTTCGCAGGACACTGATAAAATTTAAATATTGAAGAAAGTTCTTGCAAAGATACTCCAAAATAAAATTAACGCCACCGAAAAGCATTTGAAAGACGATTTATACAATCTAAGAACATTGTGCCTATAGACATTCGTCGCAGAATCAACAAATCCTTTCAATTTAATAATGTTTATCGTCAATATTTGTATAAGAACAAACGATTAAAAATTATTGTTGAATAAAATACTTTCCATGGCCTCAAGAATAATGTGAAGTAGACTTCTAAATACCATCCAATAAATTAAGACTTGGTATTGATTTAACCAGGAAAATAAAACTTCTTATCTTTGACCTCAACTAGTGCGGACGGAAGGGCCTGGAAAACTTTTAAATCCCAATTTCAAGTTCAAGGCAGTAAATTTCGAGGCGTGATGCGAAAATCGATCAACTCTTCTTTGTTCGCACAGGGCGAGACATGGAAAATATTTTTGTATTTTTAGAACCACCCAAGCTGGCAAGAAAGAGCCAAAAGCGAATATGCAAATGCAACTTTTTCCTCTCTTTGGGCAATCGTTGTTTTCGCTAGGACTTTTCTCACTGTCGGACTATAATTCGCATTATAGAGAGATGTCTCGGGTGCTGTCTCGATAAAAAGAGGGAATATATTTTTTAGATTCATAATAATGCGCCAAAGTTGTTGAAAAGTTGTCATGTGGTGCAGAGCATATTAAATTAGAAGTTCTCACTGCTTCAATTCTCCCAAGGGTATTGTTCGTAAGCGCAGCTTCTGGTATGAAGAGGCTCACAATTATGTGTAAAGTGATGTAATTGCGAAGAGAAAAGTATGTATAGCCAGAGGATCTTATGTATCGCATAATTTTCTGTGTGGAATGCCTTAAAATGTTGCATTAGAAGACTTTTCCTGGGTTTGTGTGAACAAGGTCGAAAGAAGGAAATCAAGGAAGTAAACTAATATTTTATATCACACATTTTCAAGCTGCTTTGATGACTTTTCGAGTGGAAAACTGCGCTTATCATTCTTCAAATGATGCTTTCTCAGCAATAATGTCTCACAACAATGCGGACGTCCGTTGGCGTTGGGTGTGGAAAATCACTGGCGAAAATGGATGATGAAGAGGGTGGCTCATATTACATTTTCAAATCTATCCCCTAGAAACAGAATAGTATCAATAACGAAACTAAGGAAACGTGAAGTACAGAGACGTTTGTATAAGTTGGTAAAACTTTCTCAGAGCCCGTAAGAAACTAAGAAACAGACTTGTTGTCCTGAAATATTTGCATATGATTAGCCCTCTGTGCAAAAGTAAGAAAGAAGAATTGTTCCTTCGAAGTCGTGTCAGTGGTCACAGATATGGGTTTTATGTGATGTGGCAAAAGCAATATTGGCTCTCTAAGTGACATTGCATGAAGGTTGAATTAAATTTTGTGCTATGAATAATGACATTTGGGTGAGGAGGGCCGAGGCCGAATCTGCCCAGAAAAAAGTCTGTCGTTGTTTTGAGAGATGGGAAAAAAGTCTCATTTATTTTCTCATGAGCTTCTCACCATGTCCCACAACAGTTTTCCCACCCGGATACCTTTAAATGTGGAAGCTAAGTAACCGTCTAGGGAGCAATTTTCTGATGTGTGGGTGAGATACGCTGCCACTTCTTAATGATGCCTCGCACTTTGAGCTCCCAACATGGGTGAAAGGGGATGAAACTCGGGAGTGCCATCATAAGTTTGATAGTCTTCCCACATTTGATAAGATAAAGTGGGGATACAGTGAATTATTTACTCTGGCTCCCCAACAAGGGAAAAAAGTTGGGGGAAAAAGGCGAAATCAAATACTGTCTCGTTCAGCGTCCAACCAGATGGAAAACATATCCTTGAGGCTTGGCATGGAAAAGACCGTAGAACAATTGGCAAAAATATTAGGCTAGAAGCAAAGACGACAAACCACCCACTCGAGGCGGTGTTTGTCTCTTGAGAAGTATTTTGATGAAATATATGCAGTAATTATGGGCTTCGGTATTAATACAATTTCGGTGAAATCAAGCAAATACTCCAATACCACAGAGACCAGCTGGGATTACAGAGAAGGAGAGATGAAGAGAAATTAGTCAATAACCACTGTTCGACCAATCTTCTCCGTGAGACGAAGGTCCAGTGCTCTGGAAAGAGACACACTATGGGCGAGAAGCGTAATCCGAAACGACGGAAAAGGAATTGGGTGACAGGAAATTTCCCCAGATATAATATTTACGGAAATTCCAACCACAATGGCACTTATCTTAGTAACAAATCAGTTGCGACCTACAATGTCACAGGTTTTGAAATCCCATAGAAGTGATCTGACCGTAAATTTTTAATTAAATTATAATTATTTTTCATTCTTTCAAAACTTTGAGTGGAAATAGCTTTTATTGCTACATTCAAATTCCATGTGTAGCCGCTGAGTTTGTAAACGCTCACATCTCCAATATGAAATATTCATAACGGCTGCAGCTGTTGATTTATTATATTGAATATTAATCCCATTTGCGGGGCCTCCATTCGGAACTATGTACAGGACTGGAGAGGGTGAAGCCCTCGAACTTTCTGATCAAGTTTCTTCATTGTTCACAAAATTGGTGCGTGTGCGGTTTTATGGGCTATTTGGCAACTTGCAAGTGTGATCCTTTATTCACGGGCGTCATTCAAGGAAAATATTCAAAACGCGCCCACTTTCCCGCGTTAATTGCTGACACGTGTTTGTTAAAGCTGGCAGAGATCGTTCTCTGGAATTTCCCGCCCAATGGGAGATACTGCGAAATTACCGACGGATATAATTTATTGTCTTATCTCACGATGTCTGTAAATACGTGTCCTTGCCGCAATGTCCCCCAGTTGACAGGGAGAGTATTTCGATGGGGGAGTAAACGACATTCTACCTAATAATCTATTTAGTCAAATTGTACGACACTTTGAGCTACATATCCGATTTGAGAATTGGCATTTAATTAATCGGATTTTCTCCCCGATTGCCACGACTGTAATCTAAAATACTAATCCTACTCTTGTTGTTTTTTTCGTTTTCTCGACCACCATCTCCATCCCCCCATGGAAAACTGACGGTTCAACAGCACAATAAATCCAATTTTATACAATGTGATGTCACATCGCTACCGTGTCGCATTCAAAGAGACGTTATGTGGTCGGAGAGCAAACTATTCCTACAGTAACGGCTTTTCCACCGAGCAAACCAGCTTCAGGGAAACCACAATTTTAGGTGGATGCGAAAATTCTCATTTGGTAAGTGGTACTGGGAAATTTATTTGTAATCCATCATTTAGTAGAATGGAAGCTGATCCTCGATGCTCCAACAAAATATCATCTTCTTGCATACACTCACCCCCACCCATTACACAATTCAAGTGGAATCTTCTGCTGGCAAAAGCATGACTTTGGCTTAAAAGATGAAGCAGTTGCTGACATAAACGGCACACTTTTAGCTCCTTCGTTAAAGTGCTTTTGGCATTATGAATAAACGAAAATTCCAAGTGCCCAACTTCAACTTTGAAATGTTTAAATAAAACACCCTCTCGACTCTTAGTACGCTTTTAGTCTGTTCTTTTCACCGGCCGATACTTTCAACTCTTGAAATTGCTCAATTTGACCACCGTGGCCAATTAATCTGGGTGTCGCGCAACTGGAGAAAACTTCGCCATGTTTAATCAATTAAAAAGTAATCATTCATTAAAATTAAGTGCCTTTGCGTGAGCCGTTTCAATTTTATAAGGCAAAATCTAGTCAATTCACGCAATATTGATTACCTGTTTGCGCTGTGAATGACCATTAAATTTATATTCCATTAATTTACGTTGCTTTACACCAACTTTGTACATAAAAGCGTGCCAGAAATACACTTTTTGGTATGAAAGTTTTCAAGTGCAAACTTTTCTAATGGAAAGACCTAAAAGTATTGCGAAAGTGTCCTGCAATTCTGTATAGAATATATGAAAAATCGTTTCATATTAAATTATTATCCTTTTTGTGAGGCACATTTTCTCTCTGGTGAACATAAAATAATCTATTTTTCGCCAACAACAATCGAACGAAAGCTGTTGTGAATGCACAGCTCAAGATTGTAATAATTTCTATTCAATACTCAAGTACAATCTCCTGTGATCCGCCCACCGCTTCTCATGCATAAAAGAAAGATTTTACAAAGATCCACGAGGATAAGCGATGAAATGTGAAAATTCCCTCCCATCGTGATTTCTCTTCTCACAATGCACCCGTAAATCCTGTTGCAATGCAAAAGTGTTAGAAAGGACTAAGATTATGGGTGTTTTCAGATCCGAGTGCGGTCTCTGATGCCCAGCAAGAGATACTCGCGGTACAAGGAGCAGAGGAAGAGATTCGCGAGCAGTGTCAAATGGAAGGAGAGACTCGATGTGGGCGAAGCAATTAAGGTGAGCTATTTAATTGTGCAAGTGAACCAATTGTGTGGCCTCAAAACCACTGAGATTTACCACCGGGCGGAAAGTGCCAATAGTCCTGATCAAATTTACGATAATGTCCTCGCAGCCAAAGTGCTTTGATTGTTGGTTATGCCACTCGCCTTGAACTCTTCAAGTCACACTTACGAAAGCATCAGATCACTGTATTATTCAGCTTCAATTCTCCCTTTGTTCTTGACTCCTCAATTCCAGGAAATTGTTCTTTTCCCTGTTTGTGGAGCTTAAAGTTTATACTCTCGTTGTTTCTTGTCTAACTTCCGTCCGCTAGGAAATTGTTTCCCAATTTTTTTTTTACCATTGAAACATTCTCATTTGGCCCCCATTTAAATACGTGCGAGAGAATGAAAACGCAACAAGTCAGAAGTCAGAAATTTGATGTGATGTTTCATTTTCCGAAAAATACCGTAGAAAGGTGAATTTTCACAACAATCGAAAATTCTATTCTCTTCCCCGAAGTGTTTCAAAGAAGGAAAACAAATCCTTTGGCACAAAACGTCTGTTTGGCGTCATGTGATACAAGAAAATCTCTGTATATACCTTTTCGTTTTACACTCCTTGAGTGTTTATTTTCATGGGTATGCAACAAACATGGTGATAAATGAACGTGGAGGAAAATTGTGAATTGAATACTAAAATCCAATCGTAGACTCTCTCATTGCATCTGGAAATAAATCACTTCGTATATAACATCCTTGGGTATCACTTTGAGATGAAAAGTGGATTCAGGCAACACCATCAACGTCAAGAATTGTCTTCGGAGTCTCTCAGGCCAGAACACTTTATCTGCAATCACGTTTCCGTTGATGGGATGAAACTTGTAATCCCAAACTAATAAATTTCCCGATAAAATGTGACTCTGAGTGGGAGTATTTTTTAGTAAAATGACTTTGCGTGGCCCTGCTGCAGGCAAGGAATTTGATCGTTTTATTTGTACCAAAAAAATTTCCCCCTGAATGTGGGTGTTTTTTTTCAGGAAATATACTGTTAAATGTGGGAGGAGGATTTGATAGCTGATACTGGAATTGCTCTTAAATTTTGGGTGATATCATGTCTAGAGTGCGTGTGGGTGCAAATGATGCAATAAATTCAAATGATTTGGCAATATTATGTTGGCAGAGAAGTAAAGCACACTCACAGAGTAATGCATGAATATTGGCTCTAGGACCTTCCACATCTTCGCATCAATTTCACTAATAGAAATTGATGAGCGAAAGTCAGAGTGACTCATAGAAAATGTTAAGAGCGACACTGAATTGTATCAATGCTTTTCTGCAATTCCTTCTGATTATACGGAAAAGCCATAATTAAGCTATGAATGTCAATTGAATGAAAATTTGACATGCATGGCAAATTGAAGGTCTTCCAAGCAATCTAATGGTGAATTTCATTAAGAGAAAAAACACTCCTCTCTTTGTGCAATATCATGCACTGTAATTACAAATCCTGCCTTCTTCCCAACTCAGTCGGTGATCGTTCAATGTAGAAAAGTTAAGTGGGTGAAAGGGAACAAAAAAAGAGAAACCCACCCTTAAATGAATATCGACACGGTGAGAATTACTCAAGAGCAAATTGGTAAAATATACAGCAGAACAATACATAGATCGACTACTGTTGTTCTCTCTTGCAATTTAACTTTGTCCGCCCAGGAAAAACGTGTTAACATACAAGCAACAATGGGAAGTTTTGTTAAAATCGCATAGAAGAAAATGAAGCAGTTTCGACAAAACTTAAGATATCACTCGGAAACATTTTCACATATATGTTATACATATGTTGATCAAAAGGCAAGAAAAACAATCCCAAAGTAACTTACAAAATTCAGTAAGATGTAATAAAAAACAGCTTTCTACTGAAAAGCTCTCGGCATCTCTCAGTCCCTCATGCACGGTAAAATTAACCAGCATCCCCTCAAGAAGAATATTATGTTCAGAGTGAAATAAAAATTAAATTGCCTCTGCGGTCAGCTCATGAAGAGAATAGCAGAAAAGGTTCTCAATAAAATGATAACAATGGACCGTGGAAAAATACTTTAAGTGTGGAACATGTTGGAATTCAGAGCTTTAACTAAAGGCTATTCAGCCTTTTTCACTGTTCTCGTCCCGAATGACTTTCAAAATATTGATTTAGCGGAAATAATAAATGGATTAGGTGGAGTAATTCAACAATTTACATCCGCTTCCCTTTGCCATTAAGGTTGATGAATGCGAAATGTGGCCCTCGGTGAATTTATATGTTGTTAAATGCTTTAGCAATAATACGAACAACACTTTTTTTTCCTGTTTCAACACCCACACTGCGGCTTGTGCTATCAAAATCTCATCACCTTAAACCCCGGAGAAAATCTTTCCATTCATAATTCAACGATTGTAGCGTTGCCTAATAGAATATCCAAAAACTCATTCTTCGTCCTGGCCAACTTTCACCCCCCAAGAAGTGTTATTCTCATAAAGGCAGAATGCAAAAAGCGAGAAAAACGTAGCAAAAGTCGATTTTCAATTATTAAACAACAATTTCTACCATCAAATCCATCCTTTTTCCCCACTTTCGTGAATCCCAACTGTATCGAATATCTCAGTCTGGGCAAACTAAACCCCTTTAATACCAATTTACGATTTTTCTTGCCCACACCATCTAAATCATGGGTGCTTTTTCATTCAAGCTCGCGTTGCTCTTTTTCTATATAGTCTGGATGCCGGGCTAAAGTACTGGTAAATAAATAGGAAAACAGTCACGTCTCAAAGTGTCTGTGGAGTAAATATTTTCCAGAGTGAAATCGCATTTTTCACTCTCGTTTTCAACAATACCCCGTTTCGACCTGTTCCTAAGCCTCTCTCGTGGTAATCAAACATTCAGAAATAACATCACCCAGGATGGAATCAATTTACGTCGATTTCAATACCCATATCAAATGTCTTTCGACAATTTTCCTAATGTATCTCTTACACACCTATAAATTTTCACCGAAACCCGGCGAAATCCCAGGAAATTGCGACATGGTGAATGTGACTCGATGATGTCTCAGAAGGCTCAAGCGAGTTTATTTTACAGGAAACTTTAATGTTGACACGCTGAAGCAACAGACCTCGGAGACCTCGGAGATAAATTAATTGTGGAAATTGTTATAAATTTAAATTACACGTGCCCGAAAAAAATCGATTTTATACATACACATCATACCTTGTCGAAACAACCTTTCAACTGAAAGCCTATCAAGAGCTGATCCTGTAATAAATGGCACTGTTTTTCAATTAATCTCAATGGTTTTCACTCCACTTTGTTCGCATTAACTATATACTCCAATTGGTGTTGAAACCCGATATTAAATTCACCATCGAATTTTCAGATAAACAATTAATTAAACATCCTGCAGGCATTTTAGAGTCTGTGCAGACGAAAAAAATTACAAATTAAATTTTCCACATATGAACCATATAAGTATTCTTCACTGTATTTCCTCGTTTAGGAGTAATTATTTCAGCCCTTGTAACATCGTACGTGCATAGATTCGAAAAAGCCGTACAATTTTGAACTTGAAGCATTAATTGTAAAAGTTTCATATGTGTTCTTCCCCTCTTGGTGGCTAAAATTTGCGTAGTATTCATATTCTGGATGTTTATATGCTGAAAAACTTGTGCACAAATTGCTTTTAATTTCGCTAAGGAGCATACATTTGCACGTGCAAGAATGTGGCAATTTATTAAGATGATTCTCCGACACAAGTGCGATGATCTCAATCTGATTATATTCGGACTGTTGAGGGAGTCTTGTGGAACCTCTTAAGTACCTTCCTCCAGATTACTCACTTCAACGCGCTTCAGGACAAATTGGGAGGACTCCAGTAGCGTAGCTTGTTATGCTCAGAGGAGCCACAAAAAGCTTTGAAATTGTGCAGTTGTGTAAGAAGAAAATTAATTTCTCATGTTCTGAATAGTGTTTTAAGTAGTTTTTTCCTCTTCGGTGAACGAGTATTTCCTTTCAAGCTTCTGAAAGGAGATATTAAAAAGAGGAGAAAAACCGTCAATGACTTGGCGTGCGTTGCCAGGAAAAGCTCAACCTTAAGTTCAACTAAGATGATGGAGAAATGAGAGGTTTTTTTCGAGAAACAGCAGTAAATTATATGCTGAGAAATAAACAAAATTCCATTAGTTTATCCTAAATAAAGGCATGAATCCCTCGCAAATTTATTCATTCTGACATGAAGAGCCTAAATAATTTAGAAAATATTTTTCCGAGTGCGAGGCTTCCTTTCGGCTCTCTTGATCTGCGGAACCCGGAATGGAATGCGTTGTTTTTGCTACGCCACTGCGCGATTGTATTGCGAAGGGAGGGTGCAAATTGATCAAGTTATGCGGACTTTCTGTAGCGAAAAGTTAGAAAGTTAGCAAGAAGTACATCATGTAAGGGAGTAATTTTATCATGCCGCATCCCATTTGATGAGTGCTATTGTTTTCTGCTCCATTTCCGCAGGAGGAGAAGAATCCCTCGGAGCTGAGCCAGAAGTCCGACGTAGTTGTGGTGATTGGGAACAGCATCAATGGTCGCCCCAAGTGTTACGCAACGACGGCCGCTGTGGTCCCGGAGAGCGAGTCCGCAGAGGGCGGAGGCGCTCATGAGGTGGCTGACAAGACTGCCTCCGGCCAGCCTCTCCTCGTCACATCAAATGGTGGCCACAGAAGCGACACGAGCTCGGATAAGGACGAGACGCGTATTTAATCAATCTTTCATTAGGCGTTCCCCACCAAACGGTGTTTTCCTGCCCATCTTCCCGCCACACTCCAAGCATCTCAAGGCATCAATGTGGGTACACCTTCTTTCCGCACTTCCGCCAAACAGACGCAGAAAGAGATGTTACCTAATCTTAGAATTTGTGTGAAGGTATAATAAATCTGTATAACTTTGTAATATAAAGAGCCACTATATAGGAACATCGTGTAATTAAATTGAACGTAATGAATTTAATTTTGTGATTCAAACTGTGAGATTTTATTGAAAAGTTGATATATAAGATGATTGTATAAGAAATATATAAGGCCAAGCAGTAAGAAATTGCTGGGACAAATACAAATTTGTGGCGCCATAGAGAGATGTGATTAAATTAATGATAAACCCACAGCTGTAATGCTTTGCAAAGAAACACAAAAAACTTTCAATTCACGGAAAATCCACACCGCAGAATGAAACTTTCCACCCCAAGTGAAACCACAACAGCATTCCCAATACCCTGCAAACTATTTCCCATACTTCGTTGTGGTTTAGTCCGCGGAAACAATTGGATCTCTTTCATCAATCCCACCCCGGAAGAGCATCGAGAGCACTGTGTCTCATTCAGCAGCTTTTTGAGAGTGAATTGCCAACAGCAGGAGGAAAAGAAAGATTAATTAACTTGAAAAATTGAATACATTTGTCACCATCTCAAGTGCTCACACCAACACTTTTCGCTCGGGTCCACTTTGTCCGGCTACAAACTCACACTCTAATGGTGGCTTTTTACTCTTTTCGCCTATCCATCCTTTTACCGATGGTAATTCCCACAAGAGACATGAGTCCTTACCCACATTTAACCCACACACATACACATAACATGTCCACCCATTCCACGTTGATGAGCAGCAAACTGTGTCTGCACTCAGAAGCAATGCAAAGGACACATTAATCCAACCGAAGTGTTACTGTGATGCCGGAAGCTTTTTTGTACAATATTAAACCTGTTATGTCCACCCGCACGTCGAGTTTCTCTTTCCCGTGACATTTAAATTTTTTCCCTAATACGAGCGGAAGCGCTCAGGGAGAAGTTACTTGCATCAAGATATCGCTCTAGTAGAAATTGAGGCACTTTCAGTCAGCTTCTCTTCCTGACTGAAGGCAGAAGATCACAGCAAACACAGCGAAACCATTGATTGAAGATAGAAAACCGCAAATTAGCAAATACGATCATTGATTTATTTATACAGTACGTCACATAAAAGCTACTTTTGATTTACCGTATCAATAGATTCACATTATATGTAGGTCATTGATAAAAAATTTCGCTTGTTTACAACCAACTGCGCGTTGTATTTTATACAATATCATTTCGCCTCCCAGAACACTGTCTTTTCACATTCATAAATCGGTAGGTAACTCCTTGAGACATTTACACACAGAATCTACAGCTAAAACCCTCAATGTTGATACATTCTTGCAGCGTGATTTCTCAGAGTGCAGCGATTTTTCAACAAGTTTGTGGTGCAAATGGTCGTATCACACACGGAGTGTCTTGGGCATTAATCTTAATTAAAGAGTTGGTTGGTCCATAATTATGTTACCCACGGGGGATCCCTTCAAAAATTCCCACCACGTTCCGCCACTCTGGTGGTGCATCTGGCCTCATTTCCATCCATCCATCCTATCAGTGCCTCTCCACGTCAATTATGCAACACTTACCGCAGCACTTATGACTGAAACATATTCTGAAAGTTCTTCTTCTCCTTGTCGCGATACTCCAGCAGGAAGTGCTTCGCCCTATTAAACTCGTCGAGGATCTTCTTGCAGTCAGGCACGAGGTTATAGGCTCGCTTGAGATCTTTGATTGCATTTTCGTAGTTTTTCAGCTCGATTTCCGCCTGCCCGCGACGAAAGAGCGCCTTAGAATTGCTGGGATGCAGCTTCAGGGCCTCATTGCAGATCTGTATCGCGTCATGGAAGTTGTGGGACTTGAGATGCACGGCAGCTATGTTGACACAGCTCATGGCATTGGCCTTCTCGAGGCGACACCGATCGGCGGCACACAGTGGCGCATTGCTGAAGAACTGGTAGTATCGGATGGCCTTGTTGTAGCGCCTTATCGCTTTGACATTGTCACCATTCCTGAAGTGGTAATTGCCCGCATTCCTTATTGTCGTGAGAATCTCCACCATTTGCTCGACATTGAACTCCAACACTGAGTCATCCCAGTCCAGCGGGAAAGGCGGCAACTGATCCAGCAGGCCATCGTTATCGCAGAAGCCCCAATCGGCGCCCTCGCTCAACTCCCCGCAATTCTCGATTACAATGCTGGCCGTAGGAGTGCCCTCGTCCGTCGTGACCTTCTCCATGTCACCCAGGATGCCCAAGCCACGCAACACGTAGCCCACCACCACATTAGTCCCGTCCAGATGAGAACAGTTGATGGCAGTGATGAAGAACTGAGAGCTGTTTGTGTTCGGCGCCCCATAGTTTGCCATGGAGACAGCGCCCTCGTCATGCTGCAGGCAAGAGAGTCACGTCAATAACACCGTCTGCACGACAAATTCTCAGAATACTCACAGGCAGGCTGAAGTTCTCATCCTCAAATGTGGGGCCATAGATGCTCTCGCCCACATCTCCTCCCTGAGCCATGAATATCCGCTGGACTTTGTGGAACTTGGTTCCGCGATAAGACAGAACCTTGCCAGAAGCAGTTCTCACCTCTCCCGTGCACAACAAGCGGAAGTTCTCGGCCGTCTTGGGAACAGAATCCTTCCGGAGCTCAATCACCATTCGCCCCACTGAAAAGTAAACAAACGCTATAGTGCACAGGGAAAACGCACTTTCACCATCTCACCTCTCTCCTCGTTGATTCGAATGTCCAGGAAGACGATGGGATTGCCTGGTAGTGGTCGCTTGAGGCCCATTTTGGTAAAAATGCCACGAAATATGTGCAAAAAATCCCTGCGTTGTTTGTTTTCTTGACATTTGCACAAATAATGACGTCACATTCGGCCTTTTCCACGAAAATGGCCGAGGAAGGAAACCACATTGACCGCAAGGCCCTCCGGTGGCAGGTATCAGACTGACAACTTTTAGTTGGAGAAATTCAAAAGATACCACAAAATATATGAGTGCTTCTGTGATAAAATGATATATTCTCCTACTACTGAATTGAATACAATGCTGAATAATAAATATAAAATATTTTGTAAATTTCTTAACTCTATCATCTCAATCTCAGTGGAATTGCCGCGGCTAATACGGCGGTGGTTGGTGAGGATACTGCTGGCCCATCATGTTCTGCTGATTCGGCATCTGCCGCTGCAGCTGGGCCACGAGAGCTGGTGTTTGCTGCTGACCCATGCCTTGGTTCTGACCCTGTCCCATTCCTTGCGGATTTGGCTGTTGTCCCATGCCTGAAAAACACACCAGAATAATGTTACAAACTGTCCTGGACAACCGCACTGGTCATCTTACTTTGCTGCTGCTGCATCATCATCTGCTGACGAATTCTCTGCTGGTTCACCTGATTCACCTGCTGGAACTGCTGTTGCTGCGCCTGGGTCGGTTTCCCGCCAGTTTGTCCTTGGCGCGAGTATGGCGGTGCTGCTCCCTGTGCCACCATGTTGTTCATGGTCACATTTGGCGCCGGCTGCATGTACTGCCCTCGGTTAGCCTGAAGAGCCCTCTGCTGCGCTATATATTCCGCCTGAGATGTTCTCTGGGCACTCATTTGGCTAAAATTGGTCATCATGGCCTGAGGCGCCGCTTGCTGGTTCATCGCCTGACCGCCGTAACCGCCAAAGTTCTGCGCCATTCCCTGGTACTGCTGATTCTGGAACATCGCCTGCTGGCCACCACCTTGCTGCATTGTCTGCATTCCTCCGGCACCCATTGTCTGGCCCACCATGCCTCCCGTGGCGCCTCCAGCACCTGTCACAGGAGCCTGTTGTTGCTGCTGCTGCATCATCCCGCCCGGAGCCTGTCCCATTGCGGTCGTCTGTCCCTGCGTCATCATGCCGCCACTCGCGGACGCCATCATTCCACCCGCCTGACTCATCATAGCCTGCGGTGCAGATTGAGCCTGACTCATTGGATTCTGGCCCATCTGCGACTGCTGGGTCATCAGACTGCCAGGACCCATGCCTTGACCGCCCATTGCTTGACCGCCCATTGTCTGACCACCCATTGCCTGACCTCCCATTGCCTGACCACCCATTGTCTGTCCACCCATAGTCTGTCCTCCCATGCCTTGTCCGCCCATGGCCTGGCCCATCTGACCCATATTCTGTCCCATCACGGGGTTCATGCTCTGCTGACCACCCGGACCCATCTGTCCGCCTAGACTCGCCCTCAGAGTGTTCCTCATGAAGGGAATCTGTTGCTGCCGCTGCTGCTGCATGTTGAAATTCGCACTTGTCGCCTGATTGCCCCCGATGAAGGGATGGCGCTGTCGCAGCATATTGGAGAGAGCCTGCTTTGATTGATTCGCCATGCTGGGCCGTTCGAAGCGATTCACTGCAAAACAAGTAAACAAGAATATGGTTAGAAAGTGTTGCTTTTTCCTTAGGAAATCACCTTTGCTTTAGTCTCAAATCATCATGGATTAAAGAAAGCAAAGGTTATTCCTTTTTTACAAAATCAATTCCAAACTGTGATCTAAGCCAAACCCACAGATGTCCTCTACAGTGGAAAATCCTTACGCACAAAGACAAAAGTGGAAAATCTTTAACATCGAAACTGAAACAATCTAGCTAGTGTTAAGAAAATACAGTCTTAAGATACTCACTCTGCTGTCCCATGGTTTGCTGGTTGTACATTAATTGCTGCTGTTGTTGTTGCATCGGATTAAATACACCCCATTGTTGCGGTCCCTGTTGCTGTCCTTGGGGTCCCGGCTGCTGTGGTCCACCCTGTCCCATTTGTGGTCCTCCCACGCCGAATGCAATGCCTCCCGGATTCTGGGGCTGCTGTGCCTGTGCCCCGACAGGAGCCTGCATCGGGTTGCCCTGTTGCATCTGCGGTCCAGGCATCATCTGGCCCGGATTCTGCTGCATAGCGCCTGGGCCTTGCTGATATTGCTGCATGCCCTGGTTCATCTGGTTCGCCATGTTCATCTGCATGGGACCCATTGGATTGTTTGGCATTTGAGGCTGCTGCTGTGGCGGCGCCTGAGGCTGTTGCTGTGGCTGATTGATGGGCATATTGGCCGGGCCAGGCTTCGGTTTTCTCGGTCGCCGACCCTTCATCCTCACCCGGCCATTAGCGCCTATCAGACCAGGTGACTGGTCCACAGATGAAGGCGTATCCGCCTTCATGTCCTCTTTCTGCAAAGACAACATCCTTACAAATGTGTCCTGCTTAGGCACCGCGGCGAGACTCACCGGTTTCTCCGGCAATGGCTCCAAGTCCTCCGGAGGCAGTGGCAGAGGCTCATAGAAGTAACTACTCGGCTTCACGAGACTGTGCGTGTGGTATTTTAGTAGCCGATGCGTGTCCTCGTATGCCAGCGGCTTGCGCTCCATCTTCACAGCGCCGAACCATGCCCAGGAAAGGGGAGCCGGATTCTTATGACCCTCCAGCAGATCCCACACACTCACGCGCTGCTTGTCCGCAATTCTCAATCCATGCTTCTTGTCGATGCTGTCGAAACCACTGATTTTGTTGCCCTTCGTGTCAGTCAATGAACTTGCGGAATCGCATGCAATCACTTCGCAAGTCTGTTTTGAGAGCGGCAAAAGTTGCCGGACAAACTTCACTGAGGCATTGTTCTTGTCGCCCAGCTCCTTTCTCAGCTTCTTCATAAGATTCGTGTAAGACTTCTTCGTGTCGTCGCGCTCCGACTGACTGTCTGAGACGAGAGTTGAGTGAATCAGAGTGGCAAGCATGTCTAAAACAGTGGTAAAGAGCTCAGAGTTGTTGGTCAAGTCAATCACACCCTGTGATATCAATTGAGCCAGGAGAATTGCCCAGTCAGTCGTGGAGGCGGCGTTCTTCTGAATCGAATCAAACATACCACCAACTAAGGAAAACCTCAGCTGAAGGGCGTCCAGCATTGATTCTCTGCCTTGGGGATCTTCTATTCCTCCAATTCTCTCCATTTCCTTGTTGGATTGCAGGAATTGTGACAATTGCGAATGAAGTGATGTCAGTAAACCCTCCTTTTGCTCATCTTGGCCTTTGAGACAAGTCAAAACCAGTCCCAGGAATGGTTGATGACTCAGTTGAGTTGTGGCCTTTCTCTTACTGCAACTGCCACCTCCGTTGCTACTCCCATTGCCACTGTCTCTGCCCTTCGCTCCGAAGAAATTTGTGCTCTCCAACACCTGACCGGCCACCCGTAAAATTCTCCCTTGCACTTGACTGGGCAATTTGGACACCAGCGGCGCTACCAACCATATAGACGGCTTCTCTTGCTTCGTCCCAATCATGCTCACTTGGAACACATCAATTGCCGCTCTCGCCACAGTGTCCAGCCAATTTGTTAGTTCAGCAGAACTGGAGTTAGTCTGCTTGAACATCAACTGGAGATCTAGCCAGGAGATTCGGAGAGACCACTGCTCTAGATTTTCAAGAATCCGCACAATTATGGACTTCTGATCCATTTCTGCCTTCATGTTAGACTCATTCTCAGCATAACAGATCATATGAAGAAGTCTCTGAGCTTGTTTTGGCGTCAGCATTGTATCTATGAGCATTCCAGGCTGACAGAGTTCTTCTGCATTCTGCAGGCATCGCTCCAACACCCATTCCTGGGAGCAAATCTGTCGGAGGACGTGTTGAGCAAAGTCATATAAGCTGGATGCATTTTCGCTATGAACGCTGTGACTTTGTTGACTGGAAGAAAAGAGAAATAGAACATAGAATACACAGTTTATTTTGTTACTTTTCACTCATAAAAAAATTAAAATCACTCACGTGGAGTCCAACATTGGCTCGTCACAGTTGCCCAAAAGTCCAAATTCACTTGTTCCGAGAATGTGGCTCAGATCTCCAGCTGTTCCCATGCTTTTTGGCGTGCTGCCGGGATGAACAGGTGTATTGAGTCCACTCCTTTTTCCACCGCTGTGCACTGATGACGCCTTGTGAGCCATTGCATCGCCCACAACAAGAATTCCCTTGAGGACAGCCAGCACAGGAGCCACCGCGATGTTCTTGTGAGCTGCGGCTAGCAAATGTCTATCACAACTCAGCTTGATGTTGCACGCCGGTCCGGAAATGATGGGATTGGGCGAAGTACTGACTGAATAGAGTCCCGGCTGGGGAATTTCGATGGTCTTGAAGAGACGCAGCAGAAGATGGCACGTCAATCGAGCGCCAGCCTCAGCTTCGGGTGTCATATCCCTTCCAGCCCCATTGCAAACAGTCACCAAAGCCGGCAAAGCCACGCTGGCCACAAAGTTTTCCAGTGAGAAGCAGTGTCGCGCCACGAGGATGCACGTGAACACCGCGAGAGCGTTGTGAATGCTGAGATTTTGGACATCTACCTGGCTCACGATTTCCGGATAGAAAGTCTCATTGCTGGAGCCACAGAGTGCGACCAGAGCTCCTAACCATTCGGCGCTCAGAGTGTTGCAGCAAGCCGTCAGCTCAGCGCATGTGGCCGCGATATCATTGAGACGGTCATTGTCATTCTCCCGCACCACCGCCAGGATTGCGTTACACACGAAGCTGTAACGATTAGCGCCGGACTCGTTAAGTAATCTTCCCATGCCCGTCTCAATCTTTCCACCGCGCTTCGGATGCGCAAAGATGTCCACCATGAACTCACGATTGTAAATATGCGTGGAAGCCTGGATCTGCACAGTGGAGTAGAGAGCTTGTTTGATCTTTGGGTAAGCATTGTGGAAAGGTTCAGTGGGTTGCGGCTTTGTCTTCAGGAGTGAACATGAGCTATATAGGTCGAATAAGTACGCCAGAATGCATCTCTCAGCAGAACTGCAGTCTCCGGGATTTGTCACGTGCTTCACCACCTTGCACAGTCCCTCAAACACCGCAGAAGTCTGTTCTGGGGACAGCAAGAGACAGCAGTGGTACCTCCTCAGCACGCCCACGACATACAAACTCAAAGATGTCGTATAGTTCCTCACAAGAGTGGAACTCTTTGCAATTAGCTGACTCTCCACCTCTGGCAACTCCTTCAGAATCTGAATGCACATGTCAATGAGTCCATAGATATTGAATGCCATCTCCATGAGATCAAAGAGAAAAGCGACGTGCTCCTGCACGGGCAGATAATTGCTGTTCCCCAGTGCAAAACTGTTTAACATCTCCTGCACAGTCACCGCACATTGCCAGGTGACAAAGTGCTGATCAAAGTATGACATTGACTGACACTTGTTGGTGGTGGACTCAAAGTTGAACTCACTCCTCGAATGTTTCTTCACTTTCCCACCTTCGGCCACATCGATGCTGAACTTCTTGGAGAAGAGTTTACAGATCTCCTTAGACATCTTCTTCACCGCATGCTTCTTCTCATCCCTCTCCTTGCCAACACCAAACAGCAAGATGTAGCGCTGATTACAATCATGCTGAGACGCCACATCTCCATCCTGACTTAGTGGAAAGTGTTTGGTGTACAGGAAATGCCTGGACACTGTTGAATCCGTCCCTATGCCAATATGAGAAGCACCCTGAGTGGAATTCTCAGGATCTTTGGGACTATCTGGCGCGTCCAAGGAATTCTGCTGATCCGACTTGATGTGCTGAAGCAATTTGTCCAAATCATCATCCACATTGCTATCATCAAACTCCTCAATCTTTGACTTGAACTCAATGCCCGCAAATACATCTTCATCGAGTCCAGGATGCATTCCCGGAGACGCTTTCGTGGGATTGGATATTGGTCCAGGTGGAATTACATTTGTGTGCGGCTGAGTTGCAGATATACCCTTGGTGGTAAGGTCTCCACGGGCAATCAGCGTGCACATGTATCCATCATGGGAGAAGACATCGTGGCGAATCAACTCACTAAACAGATGCACAAGATTCGTGAACTGGGAACGATTTTGCGGATTTCCATTCTCTTCCAGCACTGGAGCGTCATTATCCAGAAAATTCATCAGAATCTTCTGAAATACTGGAGATCCGTTGACACCTGCACCTGAGCTGATCGAATCCTTGTCGTCCGAATTGCCGTTTGTGGCCTCATTTTCATTTGACGAAGTCACTTCCGTCTGTCGCTTATCCAGTAACCAGGCTACAGCCATGGCTCGATGCTCTCCCCAGCGTTGCCAAGACACTGCCCATTCACAGAGGATCTTTATGATCGGAGCATCCTGATTTGGATCATATTCCACTTTCGTTTCTTTGCCTTCAGAAACTGAGGAGTGATCTTTGGAGCCTCCATTGGAGCCTCCCGAGGCCACTGAAGAAGCGCTGGATGGGAAAATTCTTACATAGAGCGTCTCTAGAGAGTTACTTGTGTCCATGCGATCAAAACAATGGGAATCGAGAGCGTCCAGTGTAGACAAGATGCGATTCCCTGTATTCCCAGTGATTGATTGCCACTTGTCTGTGCACCAACGCGCTTCAGCGTGCTTTGAGCGCGTCTTTATGCTCTCCTCGACAACTCTAAGTTGCTTCCTGATCTCCTCATTGGCTTCCGTGAAGCGCGGTGGCATTGGTAATGCAGACGGGGAGATTGGAAGGTGATCCAGAGGACTTCCAATGAATATTGAAGAAGCGCGATTCTCCCCAATGCCACACCATACCAGAGATGTGGCACACTCAATTGTGATGACCTGAATTATGGCGCTCCACTGAAGGATGAGATCTCTGTGATGTGGACAGGACATGTATTCGTTGAAAAAGGTGTAAGGATTTCCAGGCGTATTCCCATTAGCCATCACAATCTTGCTTTTCTCCTTGTAGTCAGAATTCTCCTGCATTTTACTGCTCCCTTCTGGATTTTGTGTCTCTTGGGTTTCTGTCTTAACACTGCCATTTGCCGGCGCCATAGCGGCGTCTTGGGTAAATATGTGACCATTCTCGACAGCACTGTTGATCATATGCCCCATCTTCTTGCACACTAGATAAGCCAAGCGTCTGGACAATCGCTCAGACTGCACAAAGTCTGACATGTACTGGAGAGCGAGGGGCAGGAAGAGCTTCAAAAGGCCATCATCTGTTGGCTGAGAGCGCACCTTGTCCAGCAGATCCAGAATCCAATTGAGAAATTCATGCTTGTCCAGCAATCCCTCCTCATACATGTATTTGCTGAGTTGGATACAGTAATTCCACTGCCTAAGGGCGTGCTTGTGTTCGTCTTGGGGTGAAGGCGGGGCCAGAATGCTCGTTGTGGGAGTAGAGCCCATATTTCCTGGACTGTGCATGCTCGAGGCGGGGCTGGTGAGGGGAGTGGGCACTGTGTTGGTGATAGAAGTTGTGGATGAGGCTTGAGAAGTTGGCGTGGAAGCGTTTGTCGCGCTGGTCTGGAGTTTCTCCGGCAACACGCCCTGGTAGTAGTGCTCATGGAGCTTGGGAATGAGTTCTCGCATGAACTTGATCATGGTTCCTGTCCACTCTGTTGCCGGATCTGGCATCTGGCGCTTCTTACTCTTCGCCTCGGATTGCGCCACTGTGTATGCCGAGCTTAACTTGATAAACCACGACGCCCGTTGCATGCTGACTTGATTCTCGCACAGCATTGCGAAGATTTCCTCTTTCTTGTTGAACGATGGCGCTCGCTTGGCCAGACTCGCCAGCGGTTTCGTCCCAGCCAAGTCCTTGAACCAAGTGTCCAAGGTGGCCTTTGTGCGTCCCGTTACAGGCCAGAAGTTCTCCTTCAGGTTGATCTGTTGCTTCTTCCGCCCGGTGTCCTGCAGCGTCATCAATTCCTCCTTCTTGGACAGGATGGCATTGAAGAACGATCCAACCTTGCTGGCGGTCACATTGTAATTTCTTGCCGTCCCGAACTCTTCCATATGCGGCAACAGAGTGAAGCCCTGCTTTACGTTGGACGATGTCAGCTCATCCTCCTTCTGCTTCGCCTCTTGTGGATAGATGTCCGGAGGCCCCAGGCGAGGCCTCTTGAGGGGCCTCTTCTTTTTCATATCGTAAATTAAGTGGTTGTACACCGACATTGTCCCAGTTTTCCTCTACGTCATGCACAAAGAAAAAATAACACAGATGAATCTCCTCGGCAAGGAAACTCTCAGAAGTTCATCAAAACAAATGTAGGTCGGCCATTGTTATTACTTGTCAAATGATCCGCACTATTTGTGCAATTTTCACACACCAAGACTTATCGCACTTGCAAAATTTTTACAATTCCTCACACTTTGCCACTTTAACTACATTTTTGTGATAAATTTAGAGCAATATCTCGCGAAAATGCGAAGGAAACTGCCAAATAAAATTTCACCCACGACGAGCAACACATAAACCGTGTGTTGCCATCGCTGACGTCTAGTGTCGCTGTCATCGCAAGGGCACCTAAACTCGTCGAAAGATGACCGCCCGGGAATTTTGGCGGGAGATCCGCTGAGGTTATCACTGGAATTCTCAATTTTTCTAATCGTTCTCATTTATTGGCGTAAAACTCGTAAAACCTACGTAAAATTTACAGTCATTGACTTGAAATTTTCCCTCTCAATCGCCTTCCTTTTCTGGGTCACCTTGCGAGGAGAATCCTTGCCAATCGGAGGCCTCGGACTCCTCATCTGCCTCAATTCCCACACAGTGAACCCCATTCCTCAGCATTGGCGTGCCTTTCCCACGCCCCAGCACTCTGGCACTCAGCACCAGCTTCAACTTCTCATCAGTATTTTGTACATTGACCAGATGCAACTCTTCTCGCAACAGCTTCTCTTTGTGCGCCATAAATTCTATCTTCAGGTCAAAATGTCCCTTCATCTTCCCGGAAAACTCTATGAATTTGCAATTGACATTGGGAATTGTTCTCTCATCCCTGGCAATGGTGATTCTCTCTCCCGAGAGAAAGGCGGGCAACACATTCGTGGGCAATTGCAGCTCCAGCAAATACCGATGATTTATCTGCAGGAAGCCCAGGTGAACTGTGACAGCATCTTCTCCACTCTTCTGATATCCAATACTGTTGTCCGCCTCGAGATTCTCTTTGATAGATCCATCAAAGTGCACGTGATGAGGACAGTGTTCTGGAAATGCATGTAAAAAAAAAGCCTTCAATCACGTGAATACTTGGAAAAATATCAAAATCAATATTGAATTTATGTCTCTGCACAAAGTATAACTGAATAAGAGGCGTTCTCTGTGAAACTTGGCTGATTCTCGCTGATTCCTACAACCGAGAGCGATAATGTGGGTCAATTCTGAGGGGTTTGTCATTCATCACCTTCATGTACATTGCCAGTGACTTTCACTCCACGCAAATTTACTCGGCACACCGCCAAAAGATGCCATCAATCAATCAACTACGCTATCTCTTGGCCGTGTTTCTTTATCAGAAAGAAGTAATTAATTGTTCTCATCAGATTAAATTACTGTTTTACGAATTATCACCGCTGTAAACCTTATCACACTTGCGTGGGAGCTCTAAAATAAGTCGATTCAGCGTGGATAATTCAATGATCAGTCTCACACGTCGTCTCAAGTGGAAGTACTCATTTTCGAAAATATATTTGAAGAACATGACCTTTTTGATAATACTTTTTTAGTGCCCCTCCCACTCAACAGTTCCGCTTATTTGCATTATCCCAAGCCTCTATTTAACCACAATCCTCAAGATGCAAATTTGTCAAATTGAGTTAATCAATTAATCATTTTGTCCGCAGTAATTTCAACTCAAAACCATTTGAATGCAATACAAAGAGTATTGATACGCCTTTTCGGTGATTCTCTTCACCATTTCCTCTCCGAATTGTCGGAAAGAATCAGCAAATTGATCACATGTTTATTTTCGCGCTTAGCCCACGGCCAAGCCGACAGTTTTTGACTCTCCAATTGAAGCCACTAACGAGATAAACACCATCGAGGCTGTGAATTCCCCAGTGAATGAATCTTGATAGCAACTGATAGGGCGTTTGATAAGAGAATGTCATTACATTAGGTTTCGCGCAGTGCACTATATTTTCACATTTGCTCAGGCATTTGCTATATTATTTACATACCACGCCGCAGTAATATTATACAATTGTGTACTGTTCCACAGGGGATCCGCAGGGTAGTGAGGAGAATTCAAGTAGGTGAAAAATTTGGTTTTTGTTTGTGGGCAGAGCAAAGAGAGGAATTCATTTGAGAAATATTTGCACAAGCCGTAAATTCAACACTTCATTTATCTTGTTTGATATTTAGCTAGTATTTTAGGCACGTTCTTGCTATTTTCCCGTTCTCTTGAACTTGGATTTATTGATTGGAAAATATGCCGATGTTCACGAATTTCTTGAATTGGAAATACCTGAAGACGTTGATGGGGAGCTCATTTTCCACTCAAGCGGAAGTCCTAATTGACTCTTTTCCCGGCGGAAGTGTATAGGAAGTAGTTGTTTATCAGTAAATTTACTCAGGAGATTAAAAAGAAGCCTCCAGAGGGAATTAGCAAGGCTCCTTAGAAGGATTCAGTCCGCTCATAGTCACAATTTTGGAATGTAATAAATCACCGCTAGCTTGTTGCAATTTCACCGAATGACTAAATAGACAAGGCATATAATTGCTCCCAACTCGAAATAGCACACAACCGACCACGTTAAAAAGCAAAATTCAACTGATTTATCTTCAATTATCACAGGTTGTGAAGTGGTCGAAAACACAAATCAGCTGATTTTGACAATTGACGTCACGCGCGTGTGCAGGTTCTTGGATATTCGACTAGTTCTCATCCCTTTATTTACGTTTTTGCTACAAATTGTCTTTCTCTCTGGGAAAATGCACATTTTCCTCTCGTGATAGGCCCTAGATTAGTATATATAATGACTGACAGCAGCAGCAAAGGCCCCATTGTGATCGATGGTGAAGCCATCGAGTCAGATGATGGTGATACAGTGATAATTTTGCCAGCGTCAGCAATAACCCCAAAGCGCTCAATATCCATATTTTATTATTTGCAGAAATCGTCTCATTCTCCAATGCATACCTGCCCATCCAGACCGCCACGGAGCTGACTGAGTCTTTTATGGCCTCTGGGGTGTCTTCGCCTTCGAGGTCAGACCCCCAATTCTCGTCAATTCTGCACAGGAAGCTCTGTAAGATTCCTCTGCCGGATGTGTCGCAAGCACGCCAATTAATCTATTCGGGTATTTATAGATGAGAGAAATGAATTGCTGTGGCGTCATATGCACTGTTTTGTACAGACAACACTCCTTGGGGCGTCAAAACAAATTATCGCTGCCGATCAGCAGTTGCTGAAGAGTCAAGTTAGTCTCAGTGCACGAGTAGTTTGTTAATTAAGCAGAAATGTAGCGTTTGTTTTGATTCCTTTCCAGATTATTCTGCAATCAGTTGCGACGGCTGTGAAAAAACTCAATTCTGCGAGTACGCAAGTTTTAGAGCGCGTTCGGGATATTGCCACATCGAATTTTCTCCCTCAAATCAACATTTCTTAGTACACAAATCTATTCGAATATTCTGTATACTCCTGAAAATTTGTTAAACAAAATATTTTTGACGATTATAAAGAAAATCAAGGGGAAATTTTTGTAAATATATTGTTCATCTCAATTTAGACCAGTTCTTTCTTATTCCGCCTCTAGAGGCCTCCCGAAGCGACTTGCTTGCCAGCACTCCCATTGACGTCAACTGGCAAGGCAAACCCACATTTTCGTGAGAGTGACTCAAGGCAAATTTTCTCCATTGTTTTTTTCACGAGATTTCCGTGCAATTGTGAGCGAACTGACCAAGTGAATCGCAAGAGATGCCGAAGAACAAGGGAAAAGGAGGCAAGAATCGCCGTCGTGGAAAGAATGAAAACGAATCCGAGAAGCGAGAGTTGATCTTCAAGGAGGACGAGCAGGAATATGCTCAGGTGACAAAGATGTTGGGCAATGGCAGGCTGGAGGCAATGTGCTTCGATGGCGTAAAGCGACTGTGTCACATTCGTGGGAAATTGCGGAAAAAGGTGAGTATAGGAGCCCCACGGGGGCGTTGAAACTGCGTCGTGAAAGTCCATGGGAAGAAAGATGGACGCGAGAGCCACGAGCGCATTGGCTGATTTGCATTCGTGTTTTTACGACGGGCAATTCGTGAAATGCCAGCCACTTTATTGAGCGTCTCCATGGCTGAAAAGTTGTCCAATGTCCAAGGTTTTCCTCCCTTTCAATCGTGTTCTGGCAAAATCGGTGCCCCAAGATTGACTTCTCTTGCTTTTAGGAGAATTCTTGCTGGAAGTTTCTATGATTTGGCTTTCGGAGCGCATGAGTTTTTGGTGCTGTGACGAAATCACGGAGAGCGCAAAATTACCCTATAAAATGAATGATCGCATGAGTTAATGTCTGTAGATTTGTCCTCGGATTTATGATCCTTTTTTAAATAACACGGATCACACAACAAAAGAACTTTATGATTTATTACCACTGAAAAATATCTGATTTTAAATAATTTCCATTTCGATAATAAATATTTTCTGGAATTTATATATAGAAAATGTAATTATTTTCTTTTCAATCGACTGAAAGAAATTTTAACATGCACATATTTGAAAAATCATGCAATTGTCATTAGACTTTTTCGTGAATTTTTAGATATTTTAGAATCATCGTGTACTTTTCTGTGCATGTCAATCAACTATTCAGTCACGAATAAAAAGAATAAATCAATGAATGTTCCGCTCCAGTTTCCCAAGCTCTGTTATTAATCGCTTCTCTCGCTTTGCAGGTGTGGATCAATCAAGGCGATATCATTCTTGTTGGCTTGAGAGACTATCAGGATTCCAAGGCGGACGTGATCCTCAAGTACACACCGGACGAGGCCAGGAATCTGAAGACCTATGGCGAATTCCCCGAATCCGTGCGCATCAATGATACAATCACATTCGTGGAGGATGGCTTCGATGAGGATATTGAATTCGATGATTACATCAGTTCCGAGGAGGAAGCAGACTCTGTCGATGCCATCTGATTTCCCGCCAACTAAATTCTGCTCGTAGGTAACTCAGAATGGAATGTGAGAGGAGAGGTAAATATAAAGCACATTTGGATCCACTAATCCCAAAAATTACTCGTTCTTCGTGCAAAAGAAGTGTATGGACGTCCAGCTGGATTTATTGGATGAACCCTGGCTGCTTGACTCCAGAATAGAGATGATTTTTCTGTTGTCATGACAATGTGTCTCATTCTGAAAATATGTAAAAAAAAACAAAAAAATGCACCAAGTATTGCGAAGTTCTTTTTCTATTCTACGTTTTGATTATTGATGATTATTTGTAAATTACAGCAAAATACACTATACATACGGATAATGACTTTTAGGAGAATTTTGTTAAATCTGTTTTATTTCGCTCTAGAAATTATATCCTCATTGCCGGTGATTTTTCTCACAGAGAATCACCCAGAGAGGAATCCTACTTTGTCAACTATTTATCAAATATATTCCTAGCGATTTTCTTTTTTAAAACATTGGTGACTATTGAATATTATGTATTGAAAAATAAACATGAAATAAAGGAAATATCTTAGTAAACAGAGATGAAAGTCTTTTATAAACCACGTGCAACTGAGACCAATAAAACTAAATGAATTGAGTGGATTTGTCTATGGCTTATTGAATATTCAATTTATGTTAAGACTCATATTGATTTTTTACGCAAAGAATGTATAAATATTTTAAATAAGACTTTTATTAGTTATTCCACTCTTCACTGGCACCAAGATGGAAATCTTAAAAAGTTTTAACGTTTAGATTAAACTTCGATATTCATCGTTTTCTCCAAAATGTTCCACAATGCTGAACCATGGAACAATTAGTGTCTGCTCTGCCACAGATTATAACAATTAGATTCCTCAAAAACCTCTGTCATCGCCTGTGCTGTGGCATTGTAGTGAATGCGAAAGGCGTTAGATGTGAACTGGGGGTAATATTTCATGAACTCGTGCCACTATTCAATTGAGGAGTTCGTTTGCGGTGCCTCCGTCGTGACCTCTTGATCCCTCCTTCCTCGAGACTGTGGTGAATCAACACCCACTGGCGAGCGTCTCAGTGGACGGAAAAGTGACTTTAATTCTTATAATTGGTAACATTGGTAATGATGGTCGATTAATCAATTACTTGTTGGACATTTGAGAAGAAACTGACAAAATGCCTTGTTTTACGGGCACAATAAATATTTTTGTGTATATTTTCGTCCGCTGGACATCTCTTTATTTATCTCTCTCAAGATCATCTGCCATGCGGCCCATAAGACACTCACTAATTGTATTGACTTTTATTAGGCGGCAAAGGGGAGGGGAGTTGCGATGAAAGGGTCAGCGACGAGTTACATATATAAATTATGGTGATGGAGATTCCAGTGTGTATGATGCGAAATTGGATGGAATTAGTGTTGGTGCGCGCGGTTCAGGCGAGGGATGGAGGCCTAAATTGCCAGAAATTTCGTGAGGCATGGCAGGGTGGCCAGGAGGATGAGCAGGGTGGTGCTGAGGGCGCCGTCGGGGCGACCAGAGCCGCTTCGGCACACCTTCCGCACGTTCGTCGTCGGCAATCCGCGTCTCTTGAGCAGATTCCGCACGCTCTGGATGTCCTGTGGAGCAGAGATTGGTTAATCATGAGATCGCCAGCTGGGCAGAATGTTGAAATGCGTCATAGGTTTCATTTTAATGCTCAAGAGTGTTTTAATTTGTCAATAAACTCGAAATGAGATCAATTTAATTAGGTTTCAATATATATTCATATGGCAGACTGAAACCTTGACCAAATGCAGTTCTGCATAAATTTCGCTATTATAGAGTTCAGCTCTTAAATACATATTCAGAAGAACAGAGAATCATGGCTGATAATTTTGAACACTTCTTCCAGTAGTAGAACATTTTGAGAGTATTTATTTTTACCTCCAGAGTGAGGGTGTTGGGCTGTCGCGACAGAACAATGGAGAAGAGTGTTCCGGTGGGGAAGTGTTGGCAGAAAGTGAGCACCAGGTGATCCCCAACGGCTTTCATGACCTGCACAGTGCCACTGAAGGTGCCGTGCTCCAGCTCAAAGGGTCCTCCGCCCTGGGGCGCCGTCGTGATCCAGAAGCCTCGCCGCGAGGCATTGAGACGCATCGTGTATTCAAGTGTTTTCTCGCGCTCATCCCACACGAGCCTGAGGTAGCGGAAGTTCTGTCTGTTATTCCTTCCCCGGTAAGTGCTCCCGTAGCCGTATTCCCCAGGTCGCGGGCTCCTCTCCGTGGTGGTCATGTCATTCGTCACCTCAACCAGATGGATTACCACGCAGGAATTGTACACCAGCTCACGCTCCTCGTTGTCGTGATGCGTGTAGATCTCGCTGCCGTACCACAAACCCATGATCTGAGGATTATTCCAAGAGGAGTTATTACTTAATTGGCGCTAATTGGCCTGAACTTGTGGGAGATGCTGATACTGGGCAAGGCATGGAATTTTTTGAGGAATTTTACCCAAGGGTGTCACAAACACAACCACTTATTAGCGAAATAAATAAATTGAATAATCATATTGCCATCTGAAATATGTAAGGAATGAAAAATTGACTCTTTTATTTTTCTCTAATACGATTAATGTTATTACGCATATGTAAATTATTACTATACAAATTATGTTCTGAGTTGATAATTTTGATGAATGGGAATCTATCTTTCCAAATACATGTATTCAGATGAAAAACCGGTAATGTTTATGAAATAATGAGTTTTATCTCTCGAAGTTCACTTGAACTGATCTACATAAACACAAATATAGGGAAAGCATGAAATCTCAGGTCATGCTCTGCGATTAATCATGTAAGACGATTTTCTGGAAGCTTTGCTTTACATAGATTAATTTCAAGTTCGTTTTCCCGTTACTTCTAATATCAATAGGTATTTTAGATGATTCTCCCTTAGATTCTATAAATTTTATACGTTTTCAGTCCGATCTTTATTAGCACGTATTTTGTCTACGTTCCATTTCACTAAAATGTATTGTTTAAAAAGTCTGTCACTATCATTATAATCATAACTTCCCATAATGTACTTTTCCATTACATAAACAAAGTTTTTGTTCCATGGCAACTATCAGGAATTATCCTGAATTGGGGGAACACGCCCTGGGTGGGAATTTTAACTGGGATTGAGAGCGTGGATACAATTGAAAGTGAATGGCAAGAGCCAAGTGTTGTCCGGAAGTTGAGGGCGTCAATTGCTAATTCGGTGGCCGAAAAACATCACTGTGAGCTCTTGAAAAATATTCCAAATCACTACCCACTTGCTCGAGATCCAAGTGGCTTTGTGGATTGAGTTCTTGGCAGTGCATTGGTGATCCCGTGAACTCGTCATCTGCCATGGCCAGCATGGCCAGGAAGCAGGGCACAATGAGGCTGATCACTGACTTCATTCTCACGCTCTTTGCCAATCAATTTGACTCCACTTTCACATTCAAGAACCCAGAGAACAGCACACAGAACGCTGAGACGACTGCTTCCAATTCGCGCCGGAGACTGACTAAAGCCGATCCGCTGCGACGCTCTAGTTTTATTGAAGGGGGACCAGGAAAACACCCGTCCACTCGCTGGCGAACCCTCTTTGTCTGCAGGCAAATGAGTTCGTTTCTGCGAGTTTCCTGTCCCCTCCTTTTTGTCGCGCTGTAAGAAGCACTAAAATTTGTTTTCATACCATTTTTCCTTCGTACAGGGACGATTTTCCCACTTGTTGGGCTTCACACGGAAAAACCGTAGTGAAGATTCCTTTTTCGTACAGGTCAGAGTATGACCCACTTTGCCAGATGGACAAAAGTGGGCGCGATGAAGCCACAAATGACGCTCATATTCTTGAATTCTCACTGAGACTAGGAAGGTGGGAAGAATATGGTAATAGAAAGTGCAAATGCGTGGCAAAAAGCAGGTGTTTTCCACCCTTAAAATAATTGGAAGGAAGGTCTTTTTTTGCATATACCCATTTTGTTTGGAAAACACTGGAATTGCCAAGTGATAGATTAATCAATATCATCCATATACATATGTATATTTGAGAAAAAATGTATGGAAGAAGTATAAAATTCTCCTTTATTTCCCACTGTTTCATAATAGTGTATTTACATACCTACTTATAAAGCTTGTAAATCCCTGGTTTTGGGGTGAAATCCATTTCGTTTTCCATTTTTGGCGCCAATTTGTCGCATCCCAGCTCTGTAATGTCTTGATTGCAGTTTAACGATCCAGAGCGGGCGTGAGGGGACCTCACTTAATTGCAGGGCAAATTTGCAGACCCTGATGAAAGTGTGATTCAGCCAGGCAGATGAATGCAATTGAGGAAGCCTTAAGACATTGGAGAGGAAACACTTCCCACGCGAGAGGCGCGATTAATTGAATAAGCGCGAGAGAGTGATTTCAGTGATATTTAGAAGGGAGGAAGAATGTGAATCACATTTAAGCTGCTTTTCAGATGTTTTTATTTCTTAAAGGATGTTTTGAACAATATCACTAGAATCAACAGTACAATAGTTCGTCATTAGAGCTAATACACAATAAAAGTGGGAGTAAAAAGTGAATATCTACACATGAATATCACTAGAATCTCGTATTGTCGGGCATTTTCATAAAATACGCTACTTTATCCTCAGGAACTCGATAGTTATGAATCCAGCGACTTCCTTTCCTCAGGGATCCATCAATGCCATCCTTCCAGACGCCCTGGGGCAGGTAGACTGTAAAAGAGAGCAGAAGTCATCATGTCTGAGTGCTCAATGAATGATCATGAGTGAGATTCTCAGAACTTTGGGGGAAATCAACAGCTTCAAGCTGTTTATTATTCACGCCATGAATCTTCTTAATTACTCGATTGATTAGTTGATTCAATTAATCTTCATGTTTTCAGTTATTCTGCGAAGAAGTGTTTCTTACAGCGCGTTTCTTGGTTCTCATGCACTAACCTTCTCTCTGAACTTGTCCCTTCTCGAGGATCGGGGCCACTATGAGGTTTTCACCTATAGAGAATTCATCGTTGACGTAGAGACAAGCTGTGTCTTGAGCATCCAACATCCAGAGCGGCCTGATGAGGGGCAAACCCTCATTCATGGCATCGCTGAGGTATTTCTTGAGAAGCGGAATCACAGCTTTCTGCCGAATGAGAGTCAGCTCCTTAACCACTTCCATCACGAGATCACTCTTGTACTCAGACGGCAAGTGAGTGAAGCGGATCACGGGCAGGAAAGTAGCGAGTTGCATCCAGCGCAAGTAGAGTTCCTGATCCGGCAGTGGAGGTTCGTTCATGGAATAAAAGGACACAGTCTCGTTGGTAGCCGATGGCGGGAGGAGGTAGTCACCCCCGATTGGACCTAAAGAAATTAATTAACGGAATTAAAAAGAAGACTAAGTAATCCAGAATTGGGCAATATACCTGGCATTATGAATGGGTAGCCAATGATGCCGTAAGTCAAGGCACTTGTCACCACAGTTTTAAGCCCGTCCCAGGAAGAATTCACTGGTGGCAGACTGACGAAGGCTGGTGGTCTGGGAACGGTAACGGCACTGGACACTCCAATCAAACTGATGACTCCTTCGAGGGCAGTCGTGAAGATGGTTTTATATTGGTCGGGATTGTACAGCGTCTTATTGCACTGATAGTAGTGCGGCATGTTCTGAGATGTTCCAAAGTCCAGATAGAATCCGTCAATTTTGTAATCCTTCTGTATTTTTTCTAGTTTCTCAATAAGCCAGGGAATAGATGCGTTATTAGTGATGTCCAGCACACCTGCACTTGCCACGCTTTTGTATCTTGTGAGGGCAGGAATGCTTCTTTCCGACTGGCGTTCGTAGATAAGCAACTTCTTCGCCACGGATTGTGCAAAGTTGGCACTGTCTGTGCTGATGAAGGGCTGCACCGAGAAGGCAATTCGAAAGCCACGACGATGGAGAATCGTCACAGTCTCCTCTAGATTGGGGAATCTTTCAGTTTCCAGCGTGAAATCTCCGATATGCTTCTGCCAGAACTCATTGACGAGAACATGGCCAAGTCGGAGAAATCCCAGGGCAATCACTCGCTCAGTGTAGTTGTGGATTCCGTCAGCAGTGAGGCTCTTTCCGCCTGAAGATGGGATTTGCCAGACGGGCTCCTCCAGCATTGAATGCACCACATTGATATCGTGCTCCTTCAGCCCATCCCAGAGACTCTGCTGAGTCATCTGCTGATGCAGCTGTCGCATGTTGTCACTGGTGCAGATCCTGTAGCTCAGCTCTGGCAATGCCGTGAGACGATTCACGAAGGCGAAGTGATCGTGTTTAGCGCGGAAGCACATTTCTCCTGACTTGTTATCGTTCATGCTCACATAAAGAGGCGTCTTTTCATCCACTTGAATCGCCACTCCTCTAGAACTGATGAAGTAGCGCTTCAAGGCGTTGCCCCACTGTTGCCTATTTGCGTCCCCTGTGATGAATGGGGCGAATGAGAAAGACTCTGTCTCCAGTGGCCAATTCCCGCCCCTGGTCAATCCTCCTCCGTACCAGTGTCCCTGTCCCATAAATGACTCATAGCAATCCGTGGGCAGGACATCCGGCGAGAGCGATTGCCAGCGGATGGTGTAGCAGGGGACTGTTGGACTGAGCTCCCGGAAATTGAGATACATCCTCGCTTTTCCGTCCCACTCCAGACAGACACTCCCATCGTCAAGGGTGTTGTTGGTCAGACAGTGGTACGCTTTGTCCGCGTGTATGGTGGTTCCCAGGCGTCCGGTCACCATCAGTGTTCCCTTATCGTTGTAGATCCCAATAACTCGCTGACCCTTGTTAAACTTCACTCGATCAAAATAGGAGCGCGCCAGGATTTGCTGGTTGTACATAATATAGGCATAGCCTATGAGGAAGACGATGATCAGGAAGAGACATGCAACGAAGGCCTTGATCTTGAAGTCTTTCGATTTCTTCTTCTTCCTCAACATCGACGGGAACATCTGTGAAAATAAACAAAGGATTAATTAGTTCAATTTTTGTCTGTTATAGATTGAATTTTTGGTTTCGTTTATCCTTATTATGCTTATAGCATAGCCTGAGCCTCTGATGTGTAAAGGTCACACCAATATTTCCAATGCCAAATAAATATGCATTATTTTTGCGGAAAATTTTCTAAGGTGAGTGTCTTCTGAAAGCACTCTAAATTCAATAAACAAGAAAGGTCGTATGAGGTTCACAACAAGAGGTCCATGGAGCGAAATCTTATCACTTATCACACACGTGCTAAGTCCTCTAGTATGTATAAATTGCATTTAAATAAGAGTTGTACAATAAACTCTCGGCAAATGATTGTATTAACACCACAAATATTTTCTTTTCCTTCAAAAGGCAAAGTGTAATACGAAAATGATTTAAATTGCGTACCGCGAATACTTGTTTTTAATTTGCACAAAGATCACTTTATCACGGAAGTCTGAAGTGGAATTGTCACTAAATCAGTCTTCCTGAGGGATCATTAAGGGTTCAAATAAAATACGAACTTCTACCACTTTTATCTCCGGAATGTACAGTCTCTCACCACGCTCTTCCACGCAATGTTTTCCCATATCATTCCGCACTTGCAATACACTGATCGCTTTCAATACTGGTGAATATTTATGATTATGCAAACAATAGGCGAGTGGAATCGGGGAATTTCCAGATTGCGCCAGATTCTAGTATTTTATTGCGTGGGAAAGTGTCTCGACTCACCTGAATCTTCTCCTTGAGCAGCGATGCCAGGGAACTGGCGCTGGTGATGGAGTTCTGAGTGGTGACACTCTGACTGTCGAACTCGTTGGCGATCATCTCCTTGTCGTTGAGTCTCAGGGCGGGCAATGGGGCGATGGAGGAGCGCCTCTTTGTGCGGAAGATGTACCTGCAGACGAATCAAAAAACACCTTCGTGGATAACTAATCTCAGACACTGACTTCCGAATCTACAGCAAATCCGCGAGTGTTGGTCTCCAGCGACTGAATTCAATTTAATTCTATTAAATTGCCACTTCAGCAGGAAGACACTCGTATTCGCTGGAGTTTCACCACACAATTCCGCCTGGCCACGAAAACAAGTCTCTCGCGCGGGAGCGCTTTCTCAGCCCTGCTTCGGACGCAATCGGAGATTCACTGACGAGTCACCTGACCCAGAGACGCCTCAGACAGAGCAAAAAATCTCCGCTGGATCTGCTCCACTAGAAGATTCTTTCTACCGCGCGTCCGCTAATTGGCCGAGTGGCGTATGGATTTAGCCAAAAAATCATGGTTCGTTTCGCACCCAAATTATCCGAAGCTTGCGAGTTTGCTGGATGTATTAACACCACGTGGATTAACGCTATGCCAAAAAATTTCATGTTTACCTTAATGGTTTTTCGATCAACTCTCGCGAATTGAACTGTGAAACTGCGTGGCACGAGATTAATTCATCGACTGAAACTGAAGAGACTTCGATTCTTGAATTTTTACATGGACAAAGCTGAAACGCGCTTGTGTGTTTTGTGCGAAGGTAATATTGCAATTCATTGGTTGATTGAGTCTCAAGACAATTTTTGTATAACTCAATAATGAAATATTTACGATAATAAAGAAGATAAAGGACTGATTTGAAATCTTCTTTATAAAACAAATCTATCATATTTAACAACAATTTACTTTTGCCAAAAATGTATCATAAAATTTTTACCTTCAGAGTTATATAGTATTTCTAGCATACGCACTTCAAAATTTCATGCTCAGAACCATCACAGCTAAACCAGCTTTAATTAAAGCTTTAGAAAATTGCGCAATGTGTTTTTAGCTTTGAACAGATCTATTGCAAAATTGCCCCGTTTTCTAGCACACTGCGAAATCTCAAACATTCTACGCGTAAAATATTTTCTTTCTTTTTCACTGAACTGATTTCAAATAAAGTCACGATTCTTATCGGATAACGAAGCTTTAGCACTGATTTACGACGTTCACGTCTCATACCAGAAGTGATTGAGGGGCTTTCGAATGGGCTCAATCTAGATTTCTGATTTCTCGTCCCGTGACCGATCAACTTACTTCTTCGAAGGCTTCTTCTCCTCATCTTCGGAAGACTGCTCTGTGTCTGGCTCAATGCTGCACACCATCGACTCGCCGTCGTCGCCAGCCTGGAATGATAAGCCCAAGCGGGAGGATATCAGCGGAGAGAGGCTTTCGTGGGAGAAATGGAGAGATCAAGATGATTGATTTGACACCTGTCGCTGCTGCTGCAGGTAAGCATGGAATCTCTGGAGGCTAATTTCACTGCCACTGTGATACTCATCGCCAGAATGACCGGACTCCTCAGGCACGCCATCGTACCTTTGATAGAGTCCCTCATGCAGATTATCGTCACGATTTAATCCGTCATTGCAACTAAAACTCTTTCCGTGTGTCTTTATAGTGCCGTCCATATTATCCGAAAATTGGCTGCAATCAGAGACACGATTTGGATGCAGCGAAAGTCTATTGAATTTTCCCAAAATACGCGATTTCTTCTTTGTTATTTTACACTAAATCTCACTAGAAAAGACGACAGTCTTGTGCTACTGTTTCCCGGGACAGATAGAAACTGATGAAAAGCGAGTTGTACAGAAATCCCAACGATCATTCCGTCAACCTCTCGCGACTTTTATCACAGCAGAGACAATGAATGTTAATTAACGAATAATTGCAATTAAACTGCACAGCATATAGGAAAGTTTTCGTGTCAAACTCTCACTCTTTCATCCAAATAGATGTGATAACAGTGACTGCGAGTCATCAACTGAAGAGTCACTCTCTCAAGAGAGACACTGAAGATTGGTGCAGAGAGGAAAAATGGCAAATTTTTATATTGTGTGCTCAACTAATTCACTTTTAGACCATCAAATAGAGGGTGATATACAATTTCCAGGAGAGAGACTATGTAGAAGACAAAACATCTCATACATTTTATCACGGAATATTTTGACTAATCTGAAAATGAGAAATTCTTACGAAATCATATGAGTTTGGCGTAAAAAAAAACTCCACATGAATAACATTAGCGGATTACCGAAATGCTTTTGAGACATCCTGTCTGGAGCGCTTTAGATAACGCCACTTGAGTGCCAGTCTCCCTCATTCTGTTTGTTTATCAATTAGTTCGTGTTATCAGTCAGTCTTGTGTGTGATTGAAAAGAGCGGAAAGGCATTGCACACCTCTTGCACAATTCATTGGCTGTGATTGGAGAAATTTTTAATGGATTTCCGTGTGTGAAGAATATCAGCGAGAATCGAGTGATTTTTTTTACCTAAAAAAATATCCTAAACAGAAAAGATTAACCGGTTAAAGGCAAGAAAACAATTTAAATAACAAACATTTTTTAAGCCGTGATAAACGACATATTCCGATGAAGCATCTAATTCACTTTGCAAAGCTTAAAATTTTCTAAATAAGATTCAACATAGGAAAATTCCGGACATTTAAATTGAATGATCATTTTAAGAGAGGAATCTTTCTCTCTCTCTCAGTCTCTCTCTCTCTTTGAGGGTGAATTCTATACAGTTTCTCCCGTGCGACTATAAATACTTAAGTCAATTTGCGTGTGCTTGAAAGCTCAACAATCAGTCAATTTGGCAGTGAAGGTACAGCAAAGCTATTGCTCGTGAATTGCTTTCAATTGCTTTCAGACGATTGCGTATCTTATCGATGGTTTTTGATGAGCGTGTGACACGGATGGTGATTTATGGAATTGATCTCATGATTGGGCAGAGAGAGATAGTCCAGTTTCACTTCAATCATACCTTTCTGCTTTGCTTCTCTCGCACTTCCTGGGCAGCATCGTGAACGGCTACGAGAGCTTCGAGATCTGCTGCATTCAGGGTGGGCAGAGAGATGGAGTTCCTCCTCAGACCGCGTTTCTCTCCAGATTCCATTTCCTTCAGCGGGCCAGGATTCTCATCATCATCACTGGTGACGTTGCTGCAATGGAAATAATATCAGTGCACTGAACTGCTGGCGAAAGACAATGAAGCAGACCCTGATTTGTCCGATGACTTGGCAGCTCCCTGTTCGTCTTGGGGTATCTTTATGTACAAATGATTTGCATGGCTTCTGCGGCCCATGAGTGTTCTCCGACGATGTGACTCCTCACTGGACACTGTGTCAGCACTGCTCCCCATCGCTGTGGCTGAACTACCGCCAGCAGCCTGTGCATCGTCATCTGCCCACGGAATATTTTCAGTATTTAGGCCTCCAATTGCACCTCCTCCCTCGCTCTTGCTCATCTCGCCGCTGTCTTAATTGTCAGAATAGTCCGAATGGAGAAGGTAATTAGCTGGAGCTCTCCTTGACACACTGGACGCACATTCCCGTCAACTGTTCACACGATCTCGCGCCACCGAGACAGGGAAGTTCGCGATAAGATCCACCACTTAATTAATATGCTTGCTTTGCTGTTTAATTCCAGTCATTGATTCACTGCCACGCACGTGACTTTAATCTCAAGAGTGTCTGGAATCACTGGTCGCAGCCAGATAAGGCCATGAACTGTCGATGACTTCCTGACAGACCTTCGCTTCTGGGGATCACCACCAAACTGATCAATCCACTGAACTTTCGCGATGATTGCACTGTGGCCAGGAGGGTCCGACTGGCTGGACGGTTTGGCTGAAACTGTGACTGCCACTCTCGCGCACCTTGAGTCTCACCTGGGCTCATCACGTTGGATAACTGGCCGATTTATCACTTATCGGTTCGTGATAACAAACCTCTGATGAAATCACACTCGCCATGGTCAGAATTTTGTGTCTGTTCAACACACCCAAAAAAAAGTAACCTTCGAGGGAGGATTAGGACCATTTTAGTGTCACATTGGGTCATTTTTTGCATTCTTCACGTGAATCTTTCTCGGCCCAGAACTCATAGTTCAATTTACCGCGCAATTTACCATTTTCCAGATCGCATAAAACTCACATGATCGGCCGCAAATACGATCAAAGTGGACAATTTTGTGGTTTTCTAAGGCATTTTGCACCCAGAATTAGATCACTTAATACGTCTCGATGTTATCAAGACGTTCAATAGCAGTGAATTGAATTTTACCACTCCTCATTTGCATTCTCAATCAATCGCTAACAATTTGTGCTAACACAGTGTGACTTTTTGCAAATAGTCTCACCATTGATTACCTCTCCTTTGTCAGCCAAAAGTAACACCCACACGCGCGAAGGCACTCTGACTTGTATTACACCGTGCGATTCGATTGATGACATATTTTTTACTGCAAAACTTCTGTTAATTAGGTTGCGATAAGGGTGAAGAATTGAGGTCTAAATTTCCTCGCACGCAAAGACACCAATCTGCGACTTCCAAATATTTGTGCTTCTCAGTATAGTTTTTCCAGTTCCTCATTTTCTGTTTGCTGACACATTCGTCACTTCAGCAGCAGAAAATTCTTGTCGCAGATTAATTAAACCACGTAGTGAAGTTTACATTTTGCTTTTCTCATGTGGAAAAATAGAATCATAAAATGATGTATAAGCAAAATATCACGCACACATTTGCTTCTTGATTGCGTATAAATAATTGTGAGCCACATTCAGCGCAAAATATTGTAACTGCTGTGTTTAACAGAATAATATTGAAGATTAATTATTTATTGGATATTTCCAGTTAGAAATATATTTCACATCTTTCGAAGCGTGTTGAAGAATTTACATATTCTCTAAAATTTCGTTACTGCCGAATTCAATGTTTACTTTCTCAGCAATCGTAGCATTCCAGACAAAGTTGCTCTTTTATCTAAAACTTCTAAGAAATTTTCTAGTGAATCTTGAAAATGGATCGTTTGGTCAAATTAAACAAAGCTTTAAGCTCTGAAACTTTTGGATTAAATCAGTGCATTTGCGAGGATCAAGATAAGAAAAGGTCGAAGAAGAAAGAAAAAATTCTTTTGCTATATTCGAGGCATGCATTGGAACTGAAGACAAGACAGAAAAGACTTGACGAGAAAAACGAGCGCTTTTTAAGCATATTGCTGAAAACGGTACTGTTCTTATGAAATTGAAATTATGATGAATTGTCGATTTCTTCCCTTTGCAGCGCGCCAGAGTTGACGATCAGACTATTGAGAAAATTCCGGACAGAAGACCTCCTAAGAAGACCGAGAAACAACTCTATCCGAACTACTTAAAACCCGAGGATAGCATTTCAATCAACCGATGCCGCAGGAAGATTTACCTTGAGTTCAGCCCAGACGCAAAATCTGAACAAACTTATGGAAGACTCTCAGTTATTCTGCTGTTCGACTTGGCTCCGGAAACATGCAAAGTTTTTGTTGAGTACATCACTCGGGTCACTTTCCAGCACGCTCTTCCCGTCACGCGAATCTACACGGAACGATGTCTTGAATGGCTGATTGTTGATCCCGTGCTGGGCAACCGCCTGGATCACTATCAGATCCCCGTTAATCACGACTACGCTGGGACACTCTCGGCTCTCTATATATGCAGCAAATTCAGCAGAGGATCCTACATCAGCTTCGCCATAACATTCAATCCTGTGCCCCAATTCGATGGTCGCCGCCAAGTGTTTGGCTATGTTGTTAAGGGAGCAGAACTTCTGCAGTACTTAGAATCTCTGGGAACAAGTCGCGGGTATAAAAGAGAAGATCTTTACCTCAATCGATGTGGCGTTGATTTTTAATAAAGCTACATATTTTACTCGCTGTCCGAGTTTTCAGCAAGTATCTGGCTTTTTCCTGGTATTTTGGAGCAGTGAAAAGTGGCCTCGAAGCATCTCCTGAAGATCCTTCGCGCCTTCAACTTCTTTATATCCTCCTCTGTCGGCGGAGACGGTGGCACACTCTCATCCAAGTCTTCTTCCATTTCCATAGAGAGATTCTCCTTCGACAGGCTCAATTTCCTCTTGGCATTGTCTGTCTCATCTGTGTCCTTTTGGAATACTATGTCATAGGAAGAAGATCCAGTGCTCGGATCCTTATTCTGCGTGAGAATTGACGGACTCTCGGCCCGGCCATCTTCATTCATAACGACTTGTGGTGGATTCCTGTGTAGGATGTCATCAGGAGTGGAACTGGTGAGAAAATCCTGTCTCGAATCTTCCAATGTGTCTGACAATTGACCTTCTGCTTGAATTGGTGGCCGTTCCAATTGCTTCTCAGCCCGAGGTCTCTTTTCCGGACACAAGGATTGCTCAATAGGTGAGGTTTTAGGACGCTTATTCTGAGACCTTATAGACTGGTCGTTTGGCATCACCTCAGAGTGAATCGCATCATCATAAGTGGACATCATCGAGTCATCATACGTCTCTTGCTCAAGAGTTGACATGAGGAGGCTTCCCCTCACTGGAACCTCATTCACTGTTATGATAATAGGCCTGCCTTCAGTCTCAAACTCAATCGCTACATTACAGCCCGCGCTGACGGCTTCAGCGAGGGTCAGGAAAGCACGAAGGCTCTTGAAACAGAATGTCAATCGTGTTTCCTGTTTTATTGAGTAGGTTGCGAACTCGCTACGACTGAAAGGTATGAGATTATTAATTAATATGACCTGGGAATGAGTTGTAATCAGACTTACTTCACTGTTACAGTCGTTCTCGCCACGGTTTTATCAACAATCCTGTCGTCGATATAATTCTTCACTACGATTCCTTCTTTCGACACATCCAAAGTGAGCTCCGTCTCCGACTGGGTCATGATGTTCGAAAAGAGATTCGCATGGCAAACAATCTTGTTCATGATGTCGTCACGGTGGAAAGTGGCATCCAAAGTCTCCTGCTCTAAGATTGGCACATACATATTCCTCACTTTCTCCTCTGCACACCTCAGCCGCAGAGTCAATCTGGCAGTTTCCTGGTCCAGCCTGAGAGTGCACACTTCCACTTTCTTTATGTGCCGGAATACGGAGAGGAGAGACTTGAAAGATACTCGACACTTTGTCTCGAAACTGGCATTTGACGGGGTGATTTGCTGAATATATTCTAAGAAGAAGCTCTCAGCCAGATGAATCTTGGCAAAGGAGGAGTGTGATGAGTTGACTGTGCGCAGGGACAATCCTGACAGTAAGGCTTCCAGGTACAAGTCAGAACCAACTTTGGCCAGATTCTGGAGGATCTTGTGGAGAACTGTAAACAAAAACAGTCATGAATGCAATCGGGATTTTGGTTGTTTTACACTGAATTTATCTTACTTCTAGTATTGGTCCCGTTCATTGAGCACTTCATTGTGTTGTAACACACGTAATTAGCCGGAAAATTTAAAAATCTCTTCACAAAAAGGTGATTTTCAGAGAGGTGAGCATTCTTGCGAAATTCCACTCTTCGAGGTTATGTGACTTGACGAAACATGTTCGGCGGGCTTTTTCTCGCGATGACATTTCGTTCAGTTTTTTTCTACTGTTATTGTTTGCAGACGTGTGAAGCTTAAATTCACAATTTCTTCTATTTTCTTAGAAAATAGAGTAGGGAAAGTGATTGTCTTCTCATAAATATCTCAAATGGGAATTGGTTATTCATACTGAGATTGGAAATAGTTGTTAAATGACTAGATTTTTCTGTAAGAGCAGCTGAAGAGAGCCGGCTATCATTAGAAGGTTATGTTGTTATGTTGATTTATCCGGAGAGAAAAGCTGAAAATGAGAAAGGATTTGTTTTTCCTGGCTGGAGGAATAGGAATCTATGCCGCAATCTCACTCTGGCTCTTCCATAGAGTCTATGACACCACACAATTGGTGATAGATGAAGAGTTCCACTTGAGGCAGGGAATTCACTATTGCAATGGGAATTTCTCAGTGGTAAATATTCCTGGTGATTGAGTGACTTTTCCAGGACTTGATGCTAATGGCATTCTGTAATTTCAGTGGGACCCTAAAATTACAACCTTCCCAGGCTTGTATGTCTACTCCACAGTGCTTCTCATGCCTTTGGGACTCTGTGAGGCATACTATCTTCGACTGGTGTCCTTCCTGGCTTCCATACTAAACATTTACTGGATGTATGAGATCCGGAAGGGGATTTTGCGAGGAAAGAACGTGAAAGTGAGCAAAATCGTTGAGTTCAAGCTTTAGGTATATTATAACAGATGTTGTACATGTATTTTGCAGAATTATCCAGCATGGGGATATGCTTTGGATGCCTTGAGTCTCTCCATCCTTCCGCCAATGTACTTTTTCACTTTCCTGTACTACACGGACGTCGTGTCAATCAGTGCCACCCTGGCCATGGTGCATTTCTCCCTTCGGAGGCAAAATAAATCAGCCGCGACGGCGGCTGCTGTGGCTGTTCTCATGCGGCAGACGAACATCGTGTGGGTGGGAGGTGTCTTTGGCATGAACGTTCTTGATAAATTGGTGGAAAAGACATTGAGGAAGAGCGCGAGGAAGGATCCCAACTACATATACTCCTTCAGTGACATCCTGAGTGCCATTGGCTTTTACCTGAAGAGACTCACCCAAATTCACGTTGATGTCTTCCCCATAATTGGGCAATTTTGCGGATATCTCTTTGTGATGGTGGCGTTCGTCGTCTTCGTATGGATTAATGGGTCAATTGTAGTGGGCGATAAAAGTGCCCATGAAGCCACACTTCATCTGCCTCAGGTGGCACTAGCATTTAATGTCTCTTCAATGGCAAAATATTAATTGACCATAATTTTCTCTTCCCTACAGATTGGATACTTTGCTGTATTTGTCACTTTCTTCGCTAGTGGAATTCTCCTGATGAACTTGCAGAATGTTTTGAGGAATGTTTTGAAAAGATGGCACGTTACACTCCTCCTGGGTCTCTTCTTCCTGCTCGCTGTGAAGTACAACACAGTAGTTCATCCTTACTTGCTCGCCGACAATCGTCACTACACTTTCTACTTGTGGAACAGATTCTACGCGAAACACTTAGCAAGGTATCTAGCAATTTCTGTGTATGTCTTCGGGGTGACAAGCATTCTCGAGTTGCTGGAGGGTCAGAGTGCAGGTTACAAGCTAATTTACTTTGCATGTACAATTGTATCTATAGCTCTGCAAAGTATGATAGAAGTTCGCTACTTTCTAATTCCATTCCTTATCTTGCGACTTTCGCATGCGAAACCAATGAAATTTAGTTCAATTCTTCTTGAATTCGCATTCAATATCGCCATTAATATCATTACATTCTACATTTTCTTCACGAAGACTTTCTATTGGAGTGACTACGCAGAACCACAGAGGATAATGTGGTGAGAAAAGAGAAAAAAGAGCAAAGATGCCTGCATTCCTGGCTCTCTGTCTTCCCGAGACGTGTTCTTGTTATTTTTGTGGGTTGTTTTGATAAGTACAAGGAAGTGAGGCGTTTTCCGCCTCCCATTGAGACCCCAACCTTGCTGGCCTATTGTTTGCACTTGGTGTTTGTGTGTGTACGTAATGTAATAAAAAAAAGGGGGCGATATCAATCCAATCTTTTCCCTTTTGTACCCCAAGCATGTGGATGTTTTATCGAATGAATCAATAAATCAAAACTAAAGGTAATTTATTACACTCCTGCACACCTACAAATTACACGGATGAGACACAATGAGGAATAATAATGTTCAGTCAGTGAGTATAAAAAGTTTTCTCACACTTTGGGTGAGAGACGCAATGGCGCAAGGACATTTGCTTTCTGCAATGTTCAGAAATTGGATATCTTAAAGTGAGAGCCTTCGTAAACATTTTTTCAGCAATCGTAAAGTTTTATACGCTCAAATTCACTCGATAATTCAAGAGAAGACATAAAGAGGAGAAGAAAGTTAGACTTCTTTACTTTGTTGTATTTTAATCAGATAAATTGTATCTGGGCTTTTTGGATAAGTTTGTGACTTCTGTGTTTAGACAATGGAGAAAATTGAGAAGATGTAATTATTAATTTTACGATTTGCTTCATATAGCGAGCTGTGCTCATTTTTCGATAATTTGGATTGACGACAATGTCCTTTAGGTTCCGTGCTGTAACAAATAAATGGCGTTGGCAATTTTCGACGACCTTGAGCATGCATTAAGCAATGCCGCAGTGAAAAGTCTCCAGCTTGTATCAATTTAGAGCGACTCTCACTAACGACCGCCGGAAGATTAGAACTCTGGTTGTTCTGGGGCGAACAGGAAAAGACACTGCCGTGCGCACAATCATATTCCCCAGCTCATTGTGCCACTCTCACCACCCACAGCCTCGGCAGAGAAGGTGGATGGGCATGTAAATGTTCGAGAGTGTATGGCAATTATTTTATATTACAAAATCCCCCTGCATTTGTATACTCTCTCTCGCAGTTTAGCGTGACATCCACCTCTGAGTGGAGAGTTTTAATTTCAATTTGATATGGTGACAACTTCCACTTCCGATATCTAGTTAATTCCTCTCGCCACAGTGTTGTGTGCGCTCTCAGATTAACGGCGGCGCAATTTACACTCAATTACTCTCTGGCATCCCCCCATTTCTGTTGTGAATTGGATTAGGTGATCTAGAACAGAAGATGAATGTCAGATTGAATTATTAATGTTGCGATGTCTGCGAAGGGTGACTGGGGAAATGCAAAGGACGGAGATAAAAGTTAAGATTGCAGTTGTAAATTGAGAAGGATATTATGTGAATATGGTGCTCTCGGGGGATTTTTCGTTGGGTCTCCAATGCGTTAGAAAAAACATGAGATGTTGAGCTAAGATTAGCAAAAGAGGCAAAAGAAATTGGATATTTCCACTTAGACATCGCTCATATATTAATCACACGACGTTGAACCGTGAAGGGAATATCGTGAAAATATTAAACAATAAATCATTGGGGAGAGTCACAAGCTGAAGTAACTCCTTTTTCCCACACGAAATCACAAAAGTCCAATAAATCGTCATTTTTCTCACTCATTCCATTAACTTGGGGGATGTCCTGCTTGTCCTTTTTCGCCACACTCAGCAAAATTCCGAGCAAAAAGACTGGTGAAGAATATGTTTCGCCGTGCATCAATCCTTTCATATATATGATGTTCGATTTAAGGTGTAGAGCCCGATAAGGAAGTTCCTGCTGGAAGGGTTTCCGCCACCTGATTACAAATCGTGATAGCTCACACGCCTCCTGAATTTCAGATTTCATACAAAGGGAGTTGAGATGGTTATGACGGCAGAGAAAAATAGATAAAGGTTATGACTTTTCACTGAATTGCCTAAACAATACATCTAATAATCTCCTAAATAACCCAAAGAATGATTAATGTGATTCTAAAGGTTAGATTTCGAGTTCAAGCCTAAGAGTATCTGCTTCTTTAAGACCATACATTTTATGTAATTTCATCTATGGTCTATAAACTAAACCAACTTTGGGCACAGAAGGTTCAATGGAGCAACATAGTGGTGGAAATTTATATAAAATTCTATCATGGGCTTTTGATCTCTTTTGAGACATGAGTTTCCATCGCTCTTCCACTAGTTTCCTGCCTTCTAGTCTTCCTTCCTCGCAACGCATCCCTAAAGTGAGGGTAATAGTAGAGTAAGCAAATTTACTCTCCTCGCCTAATGAGAAAATCACCTGAATTACCCACGCGGCGTGGGTCTACTTTAGGGGAATTCGTTGGGCAATCTTTCAAGGTGGCAAGGCCTGAGCGCCTGAGCTCAACGATGACCGAGGGTGGCTGACCTATCAGGCATGGCATCAAGTAGTAACCATGGGGCCAATCTGTTTGCTTACAATTTATAATGAATTTTCACATTTCCTTCGAGCTACGCCGCGTTTTTTCTGCGCCAGAGTTGCGTGACTGGCTGAAACACCATTTTCCGCCCTCTTCTCGCCCGTTATTAGGTCGATGCTGTCGACCGTCCGCAGGGAGTGTGTCCGTCTATGTGGGGATGAAACACTCGAGTAAGCACTCGCCAAAAGGGGTGGGCGTGAGTTGAAAAAATTAATGATTTTTTCCGAAGCCACCGCACAAATTCTCTCATACTAATGAACTGCAGACTAATTACTATTAATTACGAGTTAGAGATAATATATTGGGTTTTTTCTATTTAACTTGGCTAAATTCTTCCATGTTGCGTTAAGTGATATAATAAACATAAACAAACAACGCAGGGAATGAAGAATACACAGGGTGGATCAATTGACCTTGCATGGAAGATACAAAACACCACAACATAAAACTGAATTGCCAAGTATAATAAAAATTGACCTCGATTTAATCTCCTGGGTACGATAACTGACCATTAACCTGACTAGTTGAGTTGGGTCCTACCATTTTCGCCAAAAATAGGCTCCGGCGAGATTCGAACTCACGATCTCCTGTTTACTAGACAGGCGCTTTAACCAACTAAGCCACGGCGCCACGAAATTTTAAAACAAATACGACAAATACGAATTTATTGAGTTACCACAGCATCAATTTATCAAGCTAGTGAAACACACTTGTAAACATTTTGTTATCTTTATCATCTCAGTTTCATTTGCTCTCTTTCCAGTAATTCATGACATTTGTACACATATTTAACGTGCTCTGATTGAATAATTTTTTTTTAATTTTTCAAGCGGTAGTTTTGGATATTTTAATACAATAGTTTTACTTTATAATTTTTATTCGTATGTAAAAATTATGGTTGTATTATCTTAAGCTTTTAATATTTTAATTCACTCCGATTCAATGATATGGTGTGTCCGGTGTGTCTGAAAACCATTTTCAGCTCCTGTATGTCTGAATTATAATCTTATCATGCAGTTCATTGATTAAAAATGAATCATCTGTAACTCATGATAATAGGTGAATTACAGAGTGATGCAATTGAACTGCATTTTTTGGACTCTGAATTATTTTGCCCAAAAATATGATTGTAGGCTCCGGCGAGATTCGAACTCACGATCTCCTGTTTACTAGACAGGCGCTTTAACCAACTAAGCCACGGCGCCACGGCAGATGAAAATAATTAATACTTTTTATTCTGTCTCCGTACCATAAAAGTGTCGAAATGGATTGTAACTTATTTTCACGACACATTATTTATTTGTGTTCTCTGTTTTTTCTTCGCGCTCTGTCTCACTCTTCCGCGACGAACTTGGATCAATGCACTAAAAATGCTTTCAATCTGACTGGAATGGGGGGCAAAAGTATAAAAGTGTGATGTCTCCTCTGGAGAGAAAAAAGCGATGGTGGTTAATGTCGTATTTTCAGTGTAATGAACATTTCATCGCAGACCCACCTCTCACATTTGCAGAGGGTGAAATGGGTGAGAGAGAACATGGAAACGAAATTGAAGAAGACTTTCACTTCCTTCCCCTCTCGCCCCCAAGGAACAGCCGCAATTTCTCCGTCTGTGCGTCGTTGTTGGCGCAGTGAAAGCTCCAGGCATCTCGTCGTCTTTGATTTGTGGCCACGAATGTAGCATAAGAATTTCTCAATTCCTGGTACATTTATCTGATCCACCTCTCTCGCCTATCCTTGACATTTTCAGCCTCCCCACGGCTGAGCCCGAGATGCTGAACACGCCACAAAGGGATTGAGTCAATACCACGGGCAGCAATTTGGGGTACAAGTGGTACATGTTATGAAAGACCAAACCACATTTTGTCAAATATGTACAAAGCTTCGGCTCAAAAGTCTGTTATTATTTCATTAACGAGTGTGACTGTCATGTAAAGTCCATAAAACATCTCACTCTCTCTTCCCACCTAGTAACTAAAAGTGTCTCTAGAGATGCGAAATGGCTTGAACAGACGATAACCATAAAAGCTGCCAAAGCCCTCACGATTTCTCTTTATCAAAGTACAACCCCGCTCTGCACTTGATCCCCATCATTATAAAATGGGCAGGACAAGTGATTTTCATCTCTCTCTCTGAGTGCTTCAAGGGGGGCCGCCACGGGGGGAAATCATAGTGACTATGGGTGGCGTGGTGAGAGAAAAGAGAGGAAATAAATTTCAATATTTCCCACATTCAGCTTAGTTTACGCCAAATTCAACACGTATAGCTTTTAAAAATCTAAATGGAAATCATATGAAAATATTTCAATGCATCTTATGATATATACAAAAGATCCCTTTTTTACTGGAAGAAAACAAACATTACGTCGACTTTTCTTTACGTGATTTTTTCTAAAGAAATTTTCACTCTATCTTTCCAACCTTGCTGAAATTTTTGTCCCTTTGCGAACCCTCGGGAGGTTTAAAGTTTTGCTGCTCTTTCAAGTGGCATATTTCACAGTAGGACTGTTCCTGGGTATAAAATTGTATCACTCTCCTGATTAATCTCCTCCACCCTTGTTCCTGTGGTCGCCCCTCTCTGCGACGATATTAGAAAGGCGTCTTTTTGTGTGCCGTGCCGAATTCCGACACCCATTTGTTGCTCTCCTTCAGAGTGTGAACACTTCCCCTGGCTTCGCGGGTGTGGAGGATGTGCATTCGAATCTCTGCCGCAATGCCCATAATCCCACATGATAATGAGAGTATGCATACTAATGTGAAAGAGAGGGATGAACCGCGGGAGGTTTTCGACTGAAAATTGGCCGCGGATGACTGAATTTGGTGGGAGAAGTGACGCACTTTCCGTCATCATCATCGCGAGAGGGGTTGTTGCGGAAGAGCTTTGAGGAAACATGGGGTCAGATTGTGACTGTGGCGCAACTCCAGAGCGCGCCAACTCCCCGGCTGACGGAGCCCCAAGCACGCACACCAGCACCAGCACGCATACCGATACGGACGCCCCTCCATATATTCCCGCTTCAGTTTGAACACAAGCAGAGACTTCAGTCGTGCTGTGACTTTCCTCCGGATATCATGGATTTTTATCGCGTTCGTGTTGCTTTCTGTTAGTTAGAGGACCTTTTTCCATCACTTTTCACCGCCACAGAGTCGTAGTGTTTTTGCACAAAGTAGATAAATAAACGTGTTGACGCACAGGGCAGACTTGGAAGCACCGGCGAGAGGTGTACATAATTCGGAAAAACGCCTTTCCGCCCTGCGTTTGATCCTAGAGTTGCCCACTAATTTGACGGACGATGTGTGCGGTTCCCTAATACCCCGGTGGTGGCTTTCACTCTAGCCCTTAATCCCATTCCGCCTCCCATGGGACTGTGTCCGGGTGAAAGAAATGAGGCACGTTGCAGACGCTTAGACCTCTTGGCAGTTTCTGAGTGAAAATCCGATTTGGTGATTTTGAGTGTTGTGTGAAATTTGGTGGCTCCCACGGGGGATTTTCCTTATCTGCAAGCATTCCTCTGTGCTGATAGTTTCCGGACACAGCAGATTGACTTGAAGTTTGAGACTTTAAGATATAGCACCGGAATAGAATGAAGAGGCGACAACCAGCCAGCCAAGGTAAAGAGAATGGTTTATCTAAAGTTTTCTATGTTCTTTTTACTCCCTCGCAACACTCACTGAGAGAGCGATAAGAGGCTAGGCCAAATGGTTAATTTACCAGATGGGACGTATAATTTTTCTCTGGCAATTGTGCTATCTTTTGCTCTATTTCATAATCACCATGTCTTTTGTGTTCACATGTCGTGAGCTATCGATACGAAATGTATATGTTCGTTCAGTGTTTAGTCCCATTGAGAATTTTCTTGAGGTGCTTTCTCCATGAGCCTCGGTAGGTGAGCAATAGTAAGATTCCCCGGTGAGATTAATGTCCACAAATGTCGAGATAAGACTTACGAATTTCACGTGATATCGCATCGATATACAAGCTTCTTTGCCGTGTATTTTTCCACCAACTCATGACGAATTGCCCACAAATGTTTCATTATCGGCCAATATAATCTCCTCTCGTCTCTGTCAGCGGCGCAAATTCACATGTGTATTGTCTGGGTCTGGTGAATGCTGTACTCCCGAAAGGGTTGCAGACAGGGTGGTTTTTTTTGCATACGGCGCTCTCCGTTCGGTTTGCAATTTATACACATCCCTTTTGGTGTCCTTCAGCCAAACCCCTGCTTTTCGGTGTTCGCGCTCAAATGCTGTTCCTCGTCGACAAACAGGAAGTCAGTCCGTTGGCGCATTAATCGAACTCACAAACACTCCAGCAGGGGTCGCACACATGCACAGGAAGAGGGAAAATGCTCAAAGAGTTGCAGATGGCGTGTCCAGTGCGGACACACGTCCTCTGGCTTTGACCCTTCTCTATCGGCCAAGGTGGGAGAACCACCTGGGAAAATTCACTGGAATGTACATGTTTGTCGTTTCTGAACTTTATTTATTTATGTATTGAGTAAAAAAAAATTAAAAATGCTCGATGGGCTTCGGGTAGTCTTCGAAAGAATTGTCTATCTACATATATCTGGATCGCAAAAATTGTGAAGATATGTCACAAAATTCCAAGTCACCATATTGATCAATATGGAATTAGTGTAAGTGCCCAAATAAAGATAATGGTTAAGCCAAGCCTAGATTCATGGAAGATGTTTAGATGATTATTGACTGTTTTTTTTTAAGAAAATTTGAAGGTGATTGTAAAAGTCTTAAGTACTCATTTCATACAGTGAATGTATATAATGTGTCATGATATTCAACAATTGATTTCAACATCCCTTAACACATTTCACAATATGATCTAATCTGCACTCCTGCCGGCTCTCGTAATAGCCTGCAGTGTACACATTTAATTTCACTTGTACGTTCCTTGTTTTGAACCGTATTCCTATATAAACTGTTGAAGGGTTGAACTCTACTCCCTGTGGGCGGCTCAGGCGATTATACCTAAAGCAGCTCACCCCCAGTGTACACCTCAGTCCATAAGCCTTGTTTCCCCAACACAATGCGGGAGTGAAGGGGTTGCAAAGAAACCCCTCGTCGGGAAAAAGGGGTGAAAATGGCATATTTTCAGTGTAACACGAAACCATCTCATGCTTCAACTTCTTTCACACAATCTTGCGATGTGTGTGCTGAAGGGTCTCAAACTGTGAGCGGGGAGGCTCCAATTGTTGGTATTTTTCCGCTGTGGTAGAAGAAGAAAAAAGAAATGTGGCAGCGAGATGAGAAGCCTTGTTGGGAATTTATGGATGTTGAGCGAGAGTTTGACTGTATGTGGTGGTTTTCTCCCATGGCAGAGTTCAAGGACTATTCTTGCAACATCTGCCACTGATGCCTGTGAGCGCTCATTTGTTTGTACTCCCATCATGCAGAGTGATTCTTCACTCTCGATGTACTAATGATGAGTTTGAAATGCACTCAAGTGCTAACAAATGTTGGGCATGTTTGTTGGCTCTCGAGTGCAATATGCCAATTATAATTCCATCCTCACATCATTGGTGATGTAACCCTCTCTTCGGTGAGCACCTCAACACGTTAGAGCCCGGTAAGCTGCTAAGTTAATCCACAATGCCACGTGAAGATACTCTGGTGCTTCGCCTGCACTGCGTACTTGAGAATTCATTTAATTTGTTCTAGTGTTTGTCTCTTCTTGGACCCTGCTAATTAAACGACCGTCTCCACGGGTATTTTTGCGTGACGATTCAACACTCCGTGTTGCTCGATGATTAAGAGTGTTAAATGTGATTGAAATGCTACTCATTTTCACTGTGTTCTTTCCATTTTCAAAGGAGAATGCTATAGGCCGAATTCTTGAATTTCAAATGTGTTAAGTAACCACATATAAAATATCTCAGAGAAATTTGTTAATTTTCTGAAAACTTTTCCATTCACACAAAATTTTATGCGATATCTCAGTATACTGTGTATTTTTGCTTCTTCTCTCTACTTAAAAAATATACATTTGCGTTTCTGTAGCAAATTTAAACATTATATTCGTTACATTACGAAATGTTTATTTCTTGTTACAACAAGTAATAAATTTATAAAATGTAATACTCAACCTTTACGTTACTTTTTTTGTGTTTTATGTTTTTTTTTAATTTCATATTCTACTCATAGGAATGTGATAAGAAATAAATATTCGGAGGATTTACATTTCGCATACAAAATTCACTGCATATTTTCGTGTCTGATTTTCCAATATACACAAAGTGGAGCACGTGCGTAAAATAATGCTATTGAGAATTTGGAAATGCCATTCGATATCGTGGCTAGAGTTATTTTTAAATAAAAGTGGGGCTTGTTAAAAATAAATTGAATTGAATACCTATTTGCAATTAAAATTCCAATTGCAATCCTTTTGAACCCTTTGACTTATTTGTTTCTGCACCACCTATTTGACCCATTCATTGTAATTGGACGCGTGTATCTGATGTAAAAGCCACTGCAATATATATATATATATATATATATATATATATATATATATATTCAATCATATGCGTATACACTATTTATGGCAGAGAGTATATTGCAATACACTGAGTAAATGGCCCAAATACTTGATTGAATAATGATTTGTAACCCTCGTGTACCATTACAAAAAAATTTGTATGCAAAAGGGAACTGCGATATATGTCTGATTGCATATTTGGTAATGATTTATTCATTGTACGATAACGGAAAAAATATATTAGCGCGATAACCTGGAGCGATTGAAAGATGTTATTTTAATTAGGGATTTATAAATATTATAAAACGTTTCATTTTATTGTGACCATGCTTTGTACATTCTGAATGGAATGTAAATTCAGGTAGTAACAATGGTATAGTTTCAATTCATTGGGATTTTGTTGAGAAGATTACAGTGCTTGTGACATATGGGCGCAATAAATATTTTATCACTATCTCATAAGCTCTTAACATTGAGAGATATGAATTTCTGTCGTACGGATACATTTGTAATGAGTATCTTTGTTGAGTCACTTTAATTTTGAGTGTGAAGCAATAATTTGAGGAATTGCTTGAAGTGTTAGATTAAATTTGTGATGTGTCTTCGAAAAACTTCAATTGATTGATAAGATAATCGCTTTTGAAGTTCAACAAATTGTGTTTTTACCTCACATAAAGTTTCAATTGGTTCAATTGATTAGGGATATATTTATTTTGAGGGGAAAATTTAATATAAATGTCATGGGCACTACAATGAGGTCATTTGGGAAGGCGGGATTGAGTCTTAGCCATTCTCCTTATGATTTATCAATGCAATCCAATTTTGCATGCTCTCTTGCCAATATTGAATGCGACCTCGCAAGAACCCTTCCGGAAAGGCTGTGGGGGGAAATGAAAATGCTGTGGCGCATAAATTTCACAATATATTGTCCTCTATGACGCCTTGTCTGATTGTACAGCATAAAAGCTGAATTATTTATATGGACTTTCTCGCCACGAAACACCCATAAACATTCACTTGAGTGTGGGTGGATGTGGTGTAAATAAGAATTGATAAAATCATAATTAATGATGTCATATTGTACAGCTATTGGGCAGGGATATGAAGAAAAACTACGTTCACATGACTTTTCCACCTAACTCTTTCGGCATTCTTTCTTTATCGATGTTTGAGTGAGGTTCAAGGCGAAACTTTGTACAAAGGAAAGTATGTTATTTTTATTAACCCTAGCAAATGTAAGGAATTCAATGTGACCTCATGCGTAATGTTGGTAAATGACTTGTGAACTGCCACCCACATTCTGGTCTGGGCAACTGAATTGCTTCCTTTTCATTTAAAGACTCGCTGGAATAACAACAAAATAACTTCTCAACCACCCAATATAATGGCTCTGAAAACAGACAACTTTGCTTTTATCTGCATAGCAAATACATTTCTTTCTTTGTCAAATATTGGCAAGCGAATTGTTTTGTCCAGACTGCGGTATTTCCCACTATTATTTGGCTCTCTCTCTCCAAATATCCCTAGAAAATCTCTCTCTCTCTTTCTGAAAGTAAAAATGATTTCTCTCCAATATTCGCGTTTCCAGCGCGACAAAAAATCCTTCAAAGCATCATCCTGGCGATTGATGAATTTCAGTTTCACTTCACAATCCGAGACGTTCGATTTGCCTGATGTCTCTCGTAACGTTGTGGTTGACTATTTGTTTGACAAACAACCACAGAAAATGTTATGGGAAGATATTACGTATTTATATACAGTTTATGTGCTCAACTGTTTAGTGTATCTTCCGTAGTGAGATATGTTGGCCCCGGGAAAATGTACAAACTTCGAGAGATGTTGCATTTTTCACCGCACAAAAATTGAGCGGAAGACTTGGCTGTGACGAGTGCTCGGTGAAATTTCCTAGGCGAACCAATGAATAATTTCTAAGAAGATATGGAATGAGAGAGTTGTGAATTTACCCATGGTTGGAATGTATTTTCCACTCACGTAGCAATTGTGGAGGCATTTTACAGTGTTCCGAAGTTTCTAGAAAGAATACAAAATTGCCACAACTGAGAACATTTCCACACTTGATGATGATGATACACAGGGATCTCTCGTAATAATCTTTGCC